GTGGGTTTGTTGTCGTCCTTCAGATTGCCCCAGATCCCCCTGATATCGGAGGGCGTGGGGATGCACATTGGCGATGGGCCACAAATACCCAGGTCATACGGCGATGATGACTGACGGTCATGGTCGAGACCCGTGATGATTTTTCGCTTTTTCGGTGACTGACTAAGTGCCACGCTTACACGTGTGTGTGCATGAAACGGATGGCGTTTTGACGTTTTTGGCTCGTCCCTTTACAAGAAGGCTAGCCAGCGCAGCAAGCAGTGTGCGTGACGTGATGACCGTGTGTGGACAGCGTGTGGGTGTTTGGCCATGCATGGACACACAGATTCTCCCTCCAGCCAATACACATACACGTGCATTGCAAGCATCGACAAGAAGACCGAGCACCATGAAAGACAGACGGGCCAAGAAACGAGGGAAAAATGATGACACTCACTCTCTCACAGCCTGAGTCACAGGCAGAGGCGGGGGCTGCATCCACACGAATGTCTCTTGAAGCTGGGTGCCCTCTTGCGCGTGACACCGGGGCGAGCAAGTGGGAGGGTGGGGTGGGAGATGCACTGCACTGCTTTCGATGAAAGGCCCATTCGCGGCGACAGCATCACGAGGGTGTGTCTTGACAGCTGTACACAGAGAAGCAATGCAAGTAGTGAGTGAGTGTGTGAGTGAGTGAGTCTGCACCATCGTGACTCATCCATCCACTGGCTGACCTCTGTGGGCCCTTCACACGCGGTTTCCTCCACTCTCTCTTTCTCTTCCTCTGGCGGTCTGTGCGGCCCGCTCCCCCTCCCCAGGCTGTGTCTCGGCTGCTTGCCGTCATGTGGAGCCCTCTTCAACAGAGGGGCACTCGGGAGTGGGGGGCCTGTGCCCAGCAGCCCCGGAGGAGCGGAAGGCCGGCTCTCTATCGTTGGTGGTGATGGTGGTGAGACGGGTGGCTGTGAGTGGGAGAGCTGGTCAAGGGGGCACTGAGAATGCTCCTGCACACGCACGCACACGCAAGAAGCACGTGTGCGTGTGTGTGCGTCTCTGTGGTGTGATGTATCTGGTACCTAACCTGTAAGTACGTATCGAGTATGGTGTTAAACCCACGGTCAAATCCCTCGTGTGCCGCCAGCCTCTCGTCGAACCACAGCTCAGTCCTCTTGACCACACGCTCCAACACACCTGGTCCACCACTCCCCGCCCCCGACACAGGCCCCTCGGGCATTGTGTGTGCCCTCACGGCGTGGCTGTCGACCACAGCGGCCATCTCCAGCAAAGGAGGGGGAGGGGGAGGGGTGCGGGAGGCAGAGACATGATCAGCGACGGTGGTCGCCCCATTGGCCGTGGCAGGCTCGTCGGACGGATGGTGCATGCGGATGGAGCCTCAGGTGCAGCGGGAGCCTCGCGTCTTGTCTCTAACGAAGCCTCGACCCTCTTTGCGCCGGCTGGTTGCGGCTCTGGCCTTCGTGTTGCCAGCTGTTGGATGTCTTCCACTGGACCCGATCGCGCCTGTTTCTGTAGCTGCTCCACGATGCGATTCCTCAATAGTCTGAGGGGCGATGCGCCTGGCCGCTGCGCTCGTCGCCGGACACGCCGGGCCTGCACTAGAGGTCTTGATAGCTCCACCTGCACCGCTCTGCAAAGAGAGAGGGAGACACGTCGACAAATGCATGAGATGAGACGCGTCAGGCCATCTGTTGTCTGCGATTTACTTGTCGGGCAGGTCATTCCACGCTGTTTGTGTGGCTGCCGTCTGGTGCACGTCTCTGTCCGCATCACCCTTCGCAGTCGCGCGATCTACCAGCGGGGCGCTGCTGCGCCGATTCCTCAACACATGGGGGTCCTTCGGTGTCAGCTGAAGCCTGTCGGCGGCCTCAGACATCTCAGCGCTGCACATGCGCCACAGTAAATGGACACACAGACAACAACGATTGTGAGGGGAAGGGTCTATCTTCTCACCTGCCTGAGGTCTCCATCCCCGGCATCGCGGCGTTGCCCAGGTTGACGGTGTGCGACCTTCCAAAGCGAGCCGTCCTTGCGAGCGCCGGCTGGCAACCATCAGCCTCCGCCCCCTCCTCCCGCTTCCTTGCAGAGATGCGTTCGAGAGCTTCAAGAGGGTTCCATGCCTTCGATGCCCCCGGGCCCATAGATTTGGACCGTCTCAGGAGGGAGGCCTTCTGGGTGTCGAGCTGTGCCTCAACCTGGCGGAGCTTGGATGTCATCGTCTTGATCTGCTGCTGGAAGCGCTGCGCCTGCTCTCGGAGAAAGAGCTCCATGGTGCGCTGGGGGGGCAGGGCTGATGGCACAGAATCGGATGTGTGTGCGTTGGTGTGTGGTCGGTGCTTGCCTGGTTTAATCTCTCCCAGGCTGTGTCTCCTGCGTGTGGATGCTGCCTGGTGGTCCAACCTCACCGCCTCCACCTGCACCCATCTGCACACCGTGCAAGACACACACACTGAGCCTCACACAAACAAACATACATAGACAGAAAGAGCTGATGCTTACTCTGTCTGCGGTGCTTGGCACGTCTGCATGGCCACGTCGTGTGACGCCGCCGCAAAAGCCTTAAGGAGGTGATGTATGTCCATGTCGGTCTGCGCCTCGTCATCGCGCCTCTCTCCTTTCAGCCGCCGGACAGAACTACTCGTCTGCTTTTGCACCGCTAGAACTACCGTGGTCGCCTTTTTGCTACTGGCACTCACGACTGTCCGCTGATTCCGCTGCGTCTTGAACGCCGTCTTCATTGCAGCTGTATGCTCACCCTCAGCGAGGGCAGAAGGGCGAGGCTTCCTTCTACGGTTCGCGTCTTGTGCCTCCATCATAATTCTGGCCACTCCGCGAGTGGGCTACGGATCTAGAGTGCTAGCGCTCTGCAGGAGACAAACAGGGGGACAAAAGCAGAGACAGGGGCCGCAATCCTTCGTGCGTGGCCGTCCTTGTCAATGGTCTTCTTTTGTCGCTGACCTTCTACAGACTTCTGAGCGGCGCTCGGTGCGCGTCTCTGCATGCATGCATGCATGCAGGCCCCCAGGGCCCCATCATGTCTCATCATATTAAGCCTTTGAGAAAACACGTCATTGTCCACCAGCCGCGCACAGAAAGGAGAAAGGAAAGCTAAGAGAACAAGAACAGACTCCCCAGGTCACGCATAGTCACGCACCAATACACGCGCACCACGGTTGTACAAAACACCGCCGGAAAAGGGAAAAAGGATCGATATAAAGGATGCTGACATATCACACGGAGCTATCTTACAAAAGGAGCTGAATTTTAAATGTAAAAATGTAATATCAAACACTGAAGAAAAATCCACAGCAGGAGAGTGTTGTATCGAATGGCAGACACATCGACCAATCACGCGAATCGGATGCTCTCAAGTTTGAGCTGCTGCTGGCATCGGTCCAGATGCTGGGGGGTCCCCGCACACACAACCGAGCCGGTGTAGGCCGGCTCTTCGTCACCGTACGACAACAAATCACCCTACACAAACAGGTGTACAAGAGAGACACCGAATGCAAGTGCCGTGTTTCCGCCCGTATTGGCGGCAGGCGCACCTTCTGGTTAAGTATGCCGCCCCCGGTAGCTCTGAGAATGGCGTCCGCTGCGCAGAAGTCCCACTTCCAGCAGCCCCTCATGTCTTCATCGTCTTCGTCAATGGGGCTCGTCTGCCTCCCCGGCTTGGCCACACCGCCACCAGGAACCGATATGCACAGATCCGCCGTCCTGAGAGAAAGGGGAAGAGAAAGAGAGACGCGCATCCATCCATTGTGACCAGAACACGGGCCGTCTTCCTTACCCCTTGATTGTGGCGACCATGCTCTCTCCGAGAGATGGCGGCACGTTGGACGCCCTGAACTGTGCGATCTCATGCAGATGCTCGCTGATGCTGGCCGAGTAGTTAGACGACGTTGACGAGGGGATGTGCCTGATGGCGCGGCTGGAGGTGGCGGCGGCTGCTGCAGTGCCCGGCGGGGCCGGACATACCTGAGAAGGCTCCAGAATGTCCAACAGCCGCCTACAGACACAGACAAGTGAGACCGAGGTCATGCGTTTCATGTCTCATATACCTGTCTGGCAACTCACTTACTGGTAAGGTACAGGCAGCTGGTCATTCCTGCTGGCGCCGACAAGGCGCACAGCCAGGCGATCCGGAGGCCGATCCACCGTCTTCATCATGTGCTGCACGCGGGCGAAAACCAAGCATCGCGATGTGATCAACGTATCTTGTCACTCTCTCCCACACTGCTCACCATCTCAGCATTGACCGTCATGGCGGCCTGCTCCCTCCGGTCTCCCCCCTCCCCTGGCCCCCCCACTGTGGCTCCCTGCTGCCCACCCTCCTCTCTGATTTGGCTGAGGAAAGGCATCTGGCTGATGCTTGTGTCCGTCAGCAGTCGGCTGCTGAGCACCCCATACTCACCCAGCCCCGCCACACTCATGTCTCGCGCAAAAGGGAAGTACACCACGCCGCACACGGGCTGCCCCTTGGCGGCCACACCGATACTCGTGGTACAGTACCGCAGCTCCTCCTTGATCAAAGACGCCGTGCTGTTGGTGTGCGAGTCCAGGGACAGCCTGCGTGTGCCGGGAGTGAGGGAGGGCTGCCCCTGGCCCATGACGATGGTCCCGCCGCCTAGGATGTCGGCTGGGGTGGGGATGGCCTCGCCCGAGAGGGCTTTGTTGGGGTGCTGCTGGCCGTCTGAGGGAACTGCATCGAAGGCTGCAGTGTGTTGGAGTGGTGCGATGAAGAGGATGATGTCGTTGATGCTGTAGAAGGGCTTGACGCTGTAGTCGAGGGCTGACAGGCGGCCCACATTCACCTGAACATGTGCATGGGCAAAGATAGATATGGAACAAAGGGGTGGGTGTCTTGTGTCTTTTGCTTCACTTGCAGGAAGGACTGCGGGTCGTCTGGACGGAAAGCCACCGAGCAGAAGAGCTTGGCACTCTGAGTGCTCACAAGCACGCTCTGCAAGGAATCGGGGCGAGATAGGGATGCACGAATAAATGCCTGTCTGTCTGGCCAACCGCCCACTCACTCACTCGTTCTGGAGGCGTGTTGAGCTTCAGCTCGATGTCTGTCTCATCCTCGCCGGTGTAGCGAATCAAATCCCGCATCCCCAATACACTCTGATGGATAGATACCATGGCACGTACAAAATATGTGCCATATGCACACAGCGTGGTGAGCGCTGACTGACTGACCCTGCCAAGACAGTGGATGACGCCGTTTGGAGCGTAGGCAAACACGGCAAAGCTCAGGTAGTGCACCTCTTTGATCTCCTCTAGACGCAGCGTCAAGTCCTCATGCCAACCTGAAGTACACACACCCCATAAAAAAAAAACTCCCCTTGAGAGCCCCTCACTCACTGGGGCTGGCGGATTGTTTGCACTTTGCCGTGGCCACCCCTGCGACAGTGTCCCCCGGCACGCTCTCCCCGCCCCTCATGTAACTCACCCCCAGCCGCCCATTCCACACCCTTTCCGGCGGCACGTCCACCCCCTCAAGCATCATCAGCCTCTCACCCGTGTTGGCCCGCCGCTGCCTTCGCGACGATGCTGCTGCTGCTGCTGCTGCTGCCGACGTGATGGACGACTGCCGGCTGTAGGACGCCTGGTCGTGGCTCAGCCGCCTTCCCCTCTGAGACGCAGGTGGGCCGTCGTGGCTGGCTCGCCTCGTGGTGCGGGGCCGGCCATCGGTGCTGTCTCGGCTGCCCTGTTTGGTCATCTGTCGGCTGCCCTGCCGGCTGACATTGCCCGAGGCGGTGCGAGATGTGAGGGGCGCCCTGCGCCCGGCACCACCTGCAGTCATGGGCTCCTCTGACAAGGACAGGGGGGCCGCAGCAGCAGCAGCAGCAGCGGCAGCCGCAGCCGGCTGCATCGGGACTGTGCTCAGGTTGAGAGCATCTGTCCACAGATGCGCGCATGACCGCGATGGACGCTCGCCGCTTCCTCTCTGCGTGTGTGCGAGGGTTACCAGGGTGTCCGTGTACGACGTCGATTTGCACAAAAGGGTCACGTAGCGGATCGATGTCGTCCTCTGGAGCGAGCGAAAGGTCCTCTATGTGGTTGACAGTGATGCGGATCTCGCCGCCCCCACACAACTGACACAGACAAATACGCACATTCACTCCCGAATGCAATATATCCACAGCCAGCGTGTCTGTCTGTCTGTCTGCTTTCTCTCACCGCTCGTCCATGTATCTTGGTGCTGAGTGTCTTCTCGAGCTCGCTGGCGACGGCCGGGCTCTGCAACGCCCTATCGGGCGCCTGGCCCACCACCGTCAGGTCGGGGTAGATCAGCGTCATCTGATCCAACACCATCTGCTGCACCTGTGGAGTGGACACAACGAAGGAACGAAGAAAAGGAGGAGACCCACACATCAATCAACCCACTCATGCCTCCTTCTCTGTTCTGTGTATTGCCTGCCTTGTATTCTGCGGCGGCGTGCGTGGGTATGAACACCCGCTCAACGTCCGGCGTCTGCCCCCCTGCACCGCCAGGGCTGGAAGACCCCTTCTTGTTGTCCGCCGGCGACATTGCGTCCATCCAGTGGTGTGTCTCGTGCTGCTGCGCAAAGAGGGACGGCCGCTTGTGGTGGGCCTGACGGGCGGCGCACTCCAGGTACACACCTTGGGACAGCCGAACAGACCTGCACGACACACAGACACAGACACAGACACAGGCAGACTCCCGGCTTGTTGGGGGAAGGTTGGAAGGAGGAGTGTTCTCACCTGTCGTATACGAGTGCATTGTGGACGTCCTGCAGGATCTCCGCTGCGTGTTCGGCCAGCTCGATGCTCGCAGCCAAGAGGTCAGTCAAGCGGACGCGATCGTTCACCATCCTGCACCACACATATACGAAAGGCTGGATGGAATGGACTGATGGATCAGCAAGACCCCAAGCAGCCTACCTGTCTCTATGGTTGTACAGCAGCTGGTCCACCTGCACCAGGTGGTTAAGGAAGCTCCGTCTCCCCACATCCGACCGCTGGAGCACCAGCGACTTGGGCAGCACCAGGCTGTCCGTTCCCTCCAAGTTGAAGCCCAGGAACACCTTCTCCAGCCTCGCATGTGGGCCCGTCAGGAAGGAAGTGAATTCATCCAGGGAGATGATCCTGTCGCGTGTGATGGAGGAGTCGATTTCGTCAAAGGACTTGAGGCAGATGGGCTCCAGTGACGAGATGTGTGGGATGGGGCGGCCGTAGACGCGCGCGAGGCCCCTGAAAAGCGCCTTGAGGAGGCAGAAGTACTCGGCTTCGCGAATGGTCTCGTCGCCGTTGAAGTCAAACATGGAGAAGAGCAGCACGAGCTTGGTCTTCTTGTGCATGACGCTCAACAGTACTATCAGCACAAACACCTGATGTGAGTGACCGACAAACACACACCGGACGGACCGGTGGGTGACAATGCGGCCCATCTTGTCTTGTTAACCTCGTCCATGAAGACGGTTCCCCTGTTCCTGGGGTCGAGCACACGCCACACGCCGTCGGCATGCGCCTTGCTGTGCAGACCCAGCACCTCCTGGGCCTTGGCAGGACTCGTGGCAAACCCTTTCTGAGGCAGCGCAAGGAACGCCGTGTACGCCTTGACACACAGAGAGGGAGACGCCACATGAGAGACAGAGAACATTGGTTCGTCCGTTTGGATGCATGGCTGTATGTTTGCAAGCATGTAGTTACCTACCTTGAGTGTCTTGTCGAATCCCCAGTTGGCCAGCACCTCCATTGCAGGGGGGAGGTTGGTGCGGGCGTAGGTGGACCGGTGGTCACTCAGTATCTGACCCATGCCGACGCCAACGCAGCAACCAACAACCCACAGGAAATCACACTACCCGCCGCACTCGGCAGGCTCCACACCGTCTCCAGCCCTTTCGTTCCAGCTGTTTTTGCCCGCTACTTCACAAGAAGGAGCCAGTATTGGAGTAGCAGCAGTGCTCCAAACAAGGGCTTTCAGTGTCGTAGAAAACGAAAATTAGGGGGGCCCCCGGGGCAAAGCTCGCAGTCTCACTGAAACCGAATGCTGTACTGAGGATGGTGCGACAAGGATAGCTGCGCCAACTTGGCAGCCGAGGGCGGGCGGGATGGAGTCTTGCTCACGTGCTGACCTTGAACTGGGCAGCTTGCTGGGCGAAGGCTCACTCGGCAAGGTAAGACTGCGAGAGAAAATTACTTCTGCCTTTGTTGTCAATGGCAGCGCGATGCCTTTGTGTGCGTATGGCGCGTGCGACTGTGTTTGTTGTAGGTATACCGGACGCGAGATAAGAGGACCAACGAAGAGTATGCCGTCAAAGTGCTGGAAAAGAGGTCAGTCAGTCATGGAGGAGCACAGCACAGCACGACACACAGGGGCAGAGAGAAGCAAGGAAACAGAGCAGGCAGGAGGCAGGCCAGTCCTTCACGCAGACGCTGTTCAAGGCAGCTTTTGCTTTGTCAAGTCGCCACACCCACGTCCGTTGCATGTGTTGTGTGTGTCCACGATTGATTCAGGTACATCCTTCAGCAGCAGAAGCAGGCATCGGTGGTGCAGGAGCGGCGCCTCCTGAGCGCTCTCAACCACCCAAACATCGTCCAGCTATACTCATCCTTCCAGGTGTGAGAGAGAGGGCACACAGACACTACACTGAGGCCCTCTGGTGCGTATGCCGACACGCCCACATGTGTGGCTTGTACGTGTGTTGCATATTGCTACACACAGGATGACCGTTTCCTCTACTTTGTGCTGGAGCTGGCCAAGGGCGGTGACCTGGGCGACCAGATCAAGCGCGTGGGCCGTCTGCCCTACGAGCTGGCACAGTTCTACGCGGCCGAGGTGGTCAAGGTCCTCGAGTACCTACGGGAGAAACAAATCGCCCACAGAGACCTCAAAGTCAGTGTGTGAGTCAGTCAGCGAGTCAGTCAGCCAATGACCGCATAGACAGTGCACTGGAGCCGGCCCTGCACGACCTGAACGTGTTTGTTCATCAGCCGGAGAATTTGCTCATAGGCGACAACGGACACCTCAAGCTGGTCAGTCACCGAAGACCCACGCCCACCCACAGCCAGACGCATCTGGCCCACTCTGCCTGCCCCGCTTCTCTCTCAGATTGACTTTGACGGCGCCAAGTGTTTCGCGCCTGCCTTGCAGGGCCCGCCCTCCTCATCCAGCAGCCGGTCGTCATCGTCACGAGAAACGGGTCAGGCGAGTCCGGGTCAGCCCCGCAGCGGCGACAGTAGCATGACATCGTCGCCCGTGGTGCCGTCCCGCCGGCCGCCGGCCGTGAGGAAGCCGCGGTCCCGGGCCAACACGTGGGTGGGCACGGCGCAGTATGTGTCGCCGGAGATGCTCGAGGACAACGACATCGCCAGCTACCCGTCAGACCTCTGGTGAGTCAGGACGCACACGGCAATGGAAGAGGAAGACACTCGATTGGTTCCCACGTCTGTCTGTCTGTCTGTCCGCCTGTGTGTGTCCGCCTGTGTGTGTCCGCCTGTGTGTGTGTGTATGTGTGTGTGTCAGGGCGCTTGGTTGCATCTTGTATCAGATGCTGGCTGGCTGCCCGCCGTTCAAGGCCGAGACCGAGTTCCTCACCTTCCAGCGAATATGCAGATGTGACATCGCCTTCCCAAATGTACGTACGAGCTTTTGTAGCCAGGACACGCAGCAACCAAAATGGAATATATACGCGTGTGTGTGTGTGTGGGTGCATCCACTCATCTGTCAGGATATGCCGGCGGTGGCTCGTGATTTGGTGAGTCAGCTGCTGGTGGTCGACCCTCAGAGGAGGCTCGGCTCAAAGGTACCACATACACACACACAGACACAAGAAGGGCCAATGGTGCTGGGGAGCTTGCACTCTCCTCGTGTGTGTGTGTGTGTGTGCTTCTGTGAATGTCCATCAATCGTCAGGATATGGACCGTTTGAAGAGCCATCCCTTCTTCGATGGCGTGGAATTCGACACGCTACCCGCACAGACACCGCCTAAAATAGGTACCTTCCTCATCACCCACTAGCACATTGCCCATGAGTTGCCCCTCTCTCCCTCTCTCTCTCAGAGCATCTTTTGCGTCGACACGCACAGCCGCCAGGCAACCGGCATGCCGACAGCAGCAGCTCCGTCGACCCCTTAGCTGCCCTGGAGTTCACTCCATCGCTGGGCGAGTCGTTCGGCGGTGTCCTGCGGCACCACATCCGGCAGCACGGCGCACACACCGACCACGACTTCCCCTCACCCATGGCGCCTGCCTTCACGCCCTCACAGCCCGCCTCGCATCACGGCGGCGGCGGCATGATGACCATCCAGGAGGCGCCGCAGGACAGCTCGGCCACCAGCAGCAATCTCTCCGTGGAGCCGCCAAAGGTGAGCAGAGAAGAGCAGCAGCAGCAGCAGCAGACACACGCGTGCTTTCGATTTGCAGCTGTTCCGCCGGGCGTCTCCCCGGTACGCGTCAGCACGCCCCCACGCTTGTGAGCTGGCCACCGTGCGTGAGCGAGGCGACTCGTGGGGCGGCTCATCTGCCTCGCCCACATCCTCTCACCCGCCCCCATTCGACAGCACCGACGAAGAGAGGGACCGACAGGGTGGAGCTGGCAGCGGCTCTGCTGCCGAGGGAGGAGATCACAGGAGAAGAAAGGAGAGGACAAGTGGGGGCATTGGCATTGGGAGAGGCGGCCATGCGGGAGCTGTCGACAGCCAGTCGGCGCCGTCGAGCCCGCCGCCACGATTCAACCAACCGTGTGGGTCTAAGACGCCCTCGCCCATACTCCAGGTAAATACGGTGGGCTCCCATGCAGTGGCACACCCAGGTTGCGTGATTTGACGTGTGTCGTGTGTTGTGTTGTGTTGTGTTGGTGGATGCAGGGTGCGCTGCCTCAGCATCCGGTGAGATCTGGTCCGCCGCCCGCCGCACAAAGTGCCCTTTGGAGAAGTGAGAGTGAGAAAGAGAGGGAGGAAGGTGCTGATGAACGCGAACAAGAGGGGGAGCCCGACGCCATCTCACAGTAAGGAAAGCGGAAAGCAGTAGGTAGACACAGACGCGCATACGGACGGACGCCTCGTGTGCACACCTATGGTCGTCATCTCTCTCGGCCTCTGGGCCTCTGTATGTGTGTGTGTGTGCGTCTGTGTGTGTTATGCAGGGTGTTGGGCAAGCAGGAGACGGTAGTGCTGACGGGCAATGTGAGCCAGCTGCTCACCTCCCCCGACACAAGACCTCTCCACGGCGGGGCGCCCCCAAAGCCCCCCAGCAGCCGAGATCGAGACACCTGCCCGCGGTACCTGATGCTCACCGACCGGTCCAGGCTCATTATCATGGACGCAAACAACATGGCCTTCGTGGTCAGCTCAACACAACAGAACAACACAAAACACCCACACACAGACATCCCTGACTCTGTGTGTGTGTGTGTGTGTGGTGGTCAGGAGGACATTTGTTTCCGCACAGGCGGCCCGTTCACGGTCTTCCTTGGCCCCCACCCAACGCGCGACTTCACCATCCGCTCGTCGGCCCCCCACGCCCCCCACACGTGGCGCTTCCACGACAGCGACGGCTACGCCAAGCTGTGGGTCAACAAGATGCAAGAGCAGCTGGACAACTGCATGGACGTCTACCAGAGGAACGAAAACGATCAGGCCAGGAGGGAGGGGCGCAAGCCGCGGCTCCTGTTGCCCTACCACCCCAACAAACACCAGCACCAGCACCAGCACCAGCAGCAGGTGGCCGGTGGTTTGGATCCGCCTGAGATCCCCTCGCACCCCTTTGCGCCTGCAGACATACCGCAGCCGACGTGGTCGCCGTCAGCAGCGGTCATCCCCGACCCGGACATCCACAAGAGGAGGAGTGGGCAGACGGACGAGAGCGACAGGGACAGCATGGCGGATGGGAAGCTGGGCAGCAAGGGCAAGGGGGGCGTGGCTGGTGCGGGTGTGGGTGTGGGGGGGAAGGGGTCGGTGTGCAAGGAGCGACGGGGTGGCGGCTTGGGGGGTGGGCTGAGTGAGTTGCTTCAGGCGCTGGACGTGTACCTCCACTCGCGGCCTGATGTTCTCCTCTTCTCCATGGGATTCGTTCTCGACTAGACAGACTACTCATGAATGACAGAGAGAGACAGAGACAGGGAAATACGTACGTATGTGTGTGTGTGTGTGTGTATGTACGCGTGTTTCTTCTGCAATGTATTGTTGTTGTTGTTGTTTACCTATACATCTAGCTGTGTATTATAAGAGCGGCGGTCAACCTGTCTGTCTGTCTATCTATTTCTCACGAGTGATATATTGCTACCCGGCCGGCGTGTCGTCTCAATTCTCGCTTCTCTTCCCCTTCTCCCTCCCCTCTGTCTCTCTGTCTGTCTGTCTGTGTTGTGTAGCCAAGCCAGCCAGCTGCCATGAATGTGATGTATTGAATCCATCCAAACGGGCCGGGCCGGCTGTGTACCTCTACACACGGCACCTCTCTCTCTGTGTGTCTGTAATGGTTGTGTGTCTCTGCGTGTGTGTGCGTCGTTAATAGTGTGCGGTCTGCAGTCAGCGAAGCTCATCCCAGCCAGGCTGGGACGAGCTTCATATGTATAATTGCGGGCATTTTTCCTGACGCACATGCACACACGCACACACACACTCACACCACATCCGTGTCGTGTGTATGAGTGTCTTGTGTGCCTTTTCCGAATGTTAGTACGCAGGCGGCAGAGTAATGACGAAATGACAAGACAATCTTCCCTCATTCGCGACAGAGAGACAGACAGTCGTGAAGTCTGTGAGTGAGTCCGTAGTCTGGGAGCTTAGCCTCATCCATCCGGCGGGTGGGGACGATGCACCAACAGTCATGCCGACACACCGACATGACTGTTAGGTCATTATGCTCGACCTTCCGCTTGGCTCAGGCTCGCTCCGTGGCCGAAGGGGTTCTTGGGTGTTACACGAACGTGACGCACATCATGGGACACGGTGGGCAAAGCGTGTCTGTGTCTGTGTCTGCGTGTGTGTGTGTGGTGGGTAAGGCAGACGCACATTTGTGTGAGTGAGTGCATGAAGCGACCGACCGTGTTAAAGAGATGGATGGGCTTTGACTCACAGTGTGAGGAGTCTTATAGACACACACACACAGAAAGGTATGGACAGACATCCATACGCAAATATGCAGGCGGCACTCGTCGCTTGGACAGAGACAGCGACATACCAAATGCCCCACAAAGACAGACAGACAGACACGGCAATTGGTTACTGACCTCACCCCTTCCAGTCACGCAGCCCAACCGTGGGGATGACATAAACAGGCAGGCAGGCGGACAGGCAGCACTCGCGACGAGCATTCCAATCGCGCCGTTTATGGTTAGTCAAAAACTAAGCAGTCCTTTCAGCCAGCCAGCTACGCTAGACACCATCTAACCACAATCTACCCAGGCAGCCAGGCAGGCAGGCAACTTCATCGCTGCCACGTGCCACCGCGGAACGCGTCTACGCCTGTCTAGCCCGTGATGGCGTGGCCTACGCCCCCCCCACATTGCCCGCCGTGTCGTTGCTGTTGTTGGTGTTGTTGTTGTTGGTCGCCACTGGCTCCTCGGTCGTCATGAGTTCGATGATGGCGTGGTTGGGGCGCCGCGTCACGCGCAGGTAGCTGGCGAAGGGGTCGCTCTCCGCCCCGCCGTTGAGGAAGATGACGCGGCTGCGCCTGTTGTTGCGGTCGATGTAGGAGGCCACCGTGTGTGTGCCATACACGGGCGGGGCCTGGGTGATGAGCTCGTTCATGTATGGCCTCTCACCTCCTCTCCTCTCCTCTCTTCGACACACGCGCGATGCCCGCGGCCTGTTGCTGCCGGATGGTGTTTCGGGTCACTCGGTGCACCTTGGCGGTCTCGCCCTCGGGCAACATCCTGCGACGCACACACACACACACACACACAGAGTGGACACACAAGCGCTATGGATCTGCCTGTCTGCCTGTCTGTCTGCGAGTGAGCATACCAGCAAACCACGGCGTCCATAACGGACGAGTACGTCAACCCAGCCACTGCATCCACCACACAACACACACAGGGCATCCATCCATCCATCCATCCATCCATCCATCTGTCCCTCTTTCGGCTCTCCCTCTGCCCTCACCGCGGCACACAGGGTCCTCCAACTTGTACGATGCACGGAAAGGATGGTCGGCCGGCAGATCCTCTTTCGTGCAGACCGTGATGCCGGCCCCGCCCACCCGGCCGTGACGCTGCTGGTCGAGGGGCGTGACGGCCATGGGGTTGCCGTCACGGCCCCGCAGCTTGTGGCCGAACAGCATCAGTTGCTTAAGGCTGGCCGGCTGTCGGTCGAACGCAGCCTTGGAGGCCACCTGCCGCACGTCGGCCGCGGTGATGCGGATGGGCAGGGTGTCGGTGAGGCCGCCGATGTGGCGCATGGTCCGCAGCCAGGCCTCCCACAGCTGCCATTCCGCCGCGGCAGCCATCTCCAACACGTACATCAAGCCCAGCAAATAGGCCATCGGGTGCATCCCGCCCTCCTGCGTGGGCTCATCAACGGCAAAAAGGCGGAGCAGCTGCTTGTTCTCGAGGAACCGGGTGATGCGGCGACGCATGAAGGCTCGGGTGATGAGATCTCTGCCGAGGCGGCATGACCGCCGGATGGCGGAGCAGTCGGCGGGGGAGAAGAAGGGGCGGATATGCAGCTGCAGGGTCTGGGAAGGAACACTCTCCAGCCGAGCGCCCGATGAACGGGACGCCTCGGCCATCCTTATCTCCTCTCCCTCTTTTGCACGCTCAGAGTCGAGATGACCGAAAGGTGGTGTGGTCGTTTCCATTCCGACGGTTTGTTCGGCGGCACAGCACGCAACTGCGTCGTCTAGCAACTCGGTGTGACTGCATCGACCAGCGTCAAGACAAATATTACCGTTCGTCCACCGAGTCACTCAGTCCGTCGCACGTCAAGTCAACACATCAACACTCTCTCCCCCAAGCAACGCGACGCACTACGCAGCAGTCAGTCATGAGCAACTCATCCATCCATCCATCCATCGCCCATACAGACCGACCGACGTTTGCGTGCAATCCTGTTCACGCTCGCGCGTCCACCTAGTCATCGCAAGTTGGATCTGTATGGCGGGTAGGCCGCGGACGGCTGCTGGGGCTGGGCGGGCACGCCCGTCATGTGCCGGGCCTGGCCCAACGCCTGGATCTTGGCGTCCTGACACACACACACACACACAGACAGACAGACAGACGTGCACTGGCGGCCTCTTTGGGTGGTGACGTGCTGGGCGTAGCGTACCTTGACTCGGATGAGTTTCTCTAGGTTGTGTATCTTCTCGTTCAGTATGTGCACCGTTTCCTTCAGATCAGATATCAACACGTCCTTCTCAGCCTTAACATACACACACACACACAGATGTCGATGGTGGGTGCGTATGGTCACCATGTGTCGTGTCAGCCGCTCACGATGATCTCTTCATAGTCAGTCTGGCCCATGGGCTCCCTCCGGCGGCTCGCGCCATGCGAACTCCGATCTGGTGCACACACACATGAATGTGCCAAAAGGGAAAGATCCATCAGTGCAGTGGGTCCTTCCTTAACTGACCTTTAAACGGTCCACCGGTCGGCGCCGGTCTGCTGCCCGCGCTCCTGGGGTGCGATGGCACACCACCAGCAGCACCAGCACCACCACCAACGCCCCTGGCCGACGACCGTTCCTCCACGCTAACACCTTCGTGGATGCGACGCATCGACAGACGCACACACAGCAGGCATCCCCGTCGGTGCTGTTTCTGTCTGTGTGTGTGTGACTGACCATACCATGTGTGGGTCGTCCCTCCTGCGCCCTGGCCTGCTGCTGCTGTGGCGGTGCAGCAACACGGGTTTGCGGCTGGTGCCGGGTGGCGCGAGTGCCATCCGGGCGGGTGGGGCGGGAGGGGGCGGCGGGAGCCACTGCAGTAATGAACGACACACATGTCGAATGAACCCAAACACGGGATGCATGTCATGTGTAGGGTGCTGGGTGTCCTTGAGCGGTGGGTGTCGTGTCGTTCACTGACCAGGTTGGTGCGGGGGTGATGTGTGGATGGGTGGCGATGGCGGCTGCTGCTGCATGGACGATGGCAGGCCCGGCATGTGGCCGCTGGTCGGCTCCATCGTCTGCCGGGTCGCCACACGAACACGGTACACATCAGACTGGATGGATGTGGACACAAACAAATAAACACACAGGCAGATAGACACGTGTCTGTCGATGAAGCCACTTCTTGCTCATTGCTGGCTGGCTGGCTCCCCGATTGCTGAGCGTGTCAGTCAAGTGTATCAGTGTGTCAGTCACCATGATTTGGAACTGCCTGAGTATCTTTTCGATGGTGTAGGGTTTGGCGTTGACCACATCGTCCACGTCAGTGCTTTCAAGCTGGAATCCCATCTTCTTGAACACCCGCTCTGAGAGGAACAAACAGCACACAGCAGCAGCAGCAGCAGCAGCAGGAGGCACATGTGTGTGTGCGTGTTTCGTTTCTATCTGTGCGTGTCTGTCTGTGTGATGTGATGCGTACGGTTGAGAGTGTTCCAGTTATAAACCTTCTTGGCGACAGAGTTGGCGGCACTGACATGAACATACAGAGGGAGCGAGGGAGTGAGCGATGATTGATTCAGCGCGTTCGTGAATGCACTGTCTGCTCCCCTCCCTCCCCTCCCTCCCTCCCTCAGTCACTCGTTCCTTGGCTCTTTCTTTCACACACCGTGCACTGCCTACCTGTAGTTGTGGAGCTCCACCAACTTCGGGAACAAATGTGACACCACCTCAGCCATCAACACTGATGGAAGGAAAGACAGACAGACAGAAAGACAAACAAACAACCGCAGACACATGACATGACAGACGAACTCATCAGCAATGCCCCCTCCCATGTGTGAATGTGTCAGCGCACCTCCGTCTGCGAAGTCCCGCGAGATGTTCTTCTTGGGCCTGGAGAGTGGGATTTCATCGACCCAGTTGTATAGCCGCTGCAGGTCCTCCTGGTCGTCAGGATTCAACGCGCCCAACCCAGCCCCGCCGACAACCGATGACGCGGCTACTGACATATATGTATGGGTGACTCTATCCACTCATTGGGGCAGCAATGGTTAACGACGCTGTGGAGGCAAGAAGTGCCAAAACGACGTTTCTTCTCCTTTGGCTTCAAGCTCGCAGAAGTAGGGTGCTCCCTGAAACCGCTGCTGCAGGAGCTGGTGGGGGAGGGAAAAGAGCTGGGTCACTGGAGCATTGTAGTGTTTTGGACTATGCCTCGGCTGTTCATCTGCCGCCACGGCGAGCGCATCGACTTCGTGGATCCGTCGTGGCCCAGCAAGGCCGACGTGCCTGAAGATCCCTTCCTGACTGCCCGAGGACACCGACAGGTGCATCAAACACACCGCGAGTGAAGGCGCCAGGTGCACCGATGAGTCGTTATGTCTGTGTTGTTCTGCTGGTGAGCAGGGCTATGACCTCGGCGTGGTGCTGCAGGGCAAGGGTACGTAAGTCAGACGCAATGCACGACCACACACGCGCCCATGACCTGCAGAAACCACACTCTCATGTGTGGTGTTCTGCAGGCATATCAGTCATCTATTCGTCGCCGTTCGTCCGCTGTGTCTGCACCGCACACAGTGCGGCAACAGCTCTGGGCGGCACGGCCCGCGTGTGCATCGAGCCGGGAATCGCAGAATGGTGAGTTTAACGTGCAGCTCCAGGAGGGAATTAATGCGCCGAGGAGCGAGCATGATGGGTCGTGTCGTGTGTGTATGATAGGCTGAAGGGGGAGTGGTATCCGGATGGTGACCCGCTGCGCAAGATGGTCCCTCCGTCGCAGCTCATCAAGACCATGCCGCTCATCAACCACCACCACAAACACAAAACTGCGGTGCCATCCTTCCCAGAGACGGTGGGCAGCACGAACACAACATGACAGACAGACAGACAGACACTTGTCAATTTACGAGACCTTCTTCTCTCTCTCTCTCTCTCTCAATCTGCCTGTGTCGTGTGTACGCCCCTCTGTGTGTCTGTGTGTAGCTGGATCTCTTCTACGAGCGGTGTCAGAAGGTGAGTAGAGTAGACACGCACAGGCAGAGACGGATGAGCCACTGAGTCACTCGTCTGTGTGTGTGCAGGCCATGAAGGCCATTCTGTCTGCCCATCCGTACGAGACCGTCATGCTCGTGTGTCACGGAGCAACTGTAGAGGTGGGGGTCTGATTTGATCTATGCATGACACGAATGACATGGCATCAATATGTGCCTGCAGGGGCTGGCGCGTTCCCTCGTGCCAGGCGTTCACTTCCCGCGGGGCGTCACATACGCCTCTATCACCGAGGTATGCAGACGGACGGTCACAGGCACATGACCAACATCAAGGCGAATGGGCATCCATCGATTGGGTCCTTGCTCTCTCTCCTGCTGTCTGTCGGCAGTTGGAGGCGCTGCCCCCGCAGCACATGAGCGAGTTTGCGGTGGACGGTCTGCTGCAGCCGCGGGCGGGGCCGTCGTGGCGTGTGGGGTGTCTGAGGGTGTCGGACGACAGCCACCTGCGACACCCGGAGAAGGAGAGTGGAGGCAAGTATCATTGAGGGGGAGAGGCGGGCGGATGACGGACGGAGGGAGGGAGGGTAGATGAACGGCCCAGTAGCTGGGTGGTGTCGGTTTTGCCGTTTCTCTCGGTGGCTTCTTCTCCTTACGTATTCTTGGTGGTGGCGAGGTGCATGCCTCAATGAGGCAGACAGGCATTGTTAATAGACAGCTCGCACATTTCCTCCACCAGATCAGAAGGAGACAGAGGGACAGTTTTGTCGAGCGACGTCGTGCACATGGAAGCGAGTAGTAGGGTGTTTGGTTTTGGGGACACTTTCATCGGGGTGGGTGCGGTGTGAGAACACAACTGAATCGACTCACTCGTCAACGCGACTTGTCCATCGACGCACAGGCCGGCAAGACACGTACTCGACAGCACTACCAAAGCCAGTGTTCACCCATGTGTGTCAGTGACACGGACAGCCCCTTCAGAGCCCCCATCTCCATCTCCCTCGCTACCTGCCACTCATCTCATCTATCCCCCCATCACTGCTGCTCCCGCTGCCACCGTCTCGTCTTAACTGATCCCTTCTCCTCCATCGCCCGCCGCGCCTTGGCCTCCTTTGACGTCTCAAAGGCGCTCAACGCCACGGCGTACTGCTCGGCCGTGCACCAATCCTTCCGCCGTGCAGCTGCACTCACACAACACAGCACACAAGACGCCACATCTCATGAGTACACACGAGCGTGTTGCGGTTCGTCGGTGTGGTGTGGTGTATCTCTCGTACTCACCATTGGGGAAGAAGTGCCTGGGGATCCTGGTGGCAGCTACCGACCTCAGCGCCAGGGCGGTTTCTACCTGGTCAGGCCCGCAGAAGCGCCCCGTCAGCCCCAGCCCATCTCGCAACCGCCTCATGAGGTCGGCAGAGCACCGCCATATGGGCACCTTGCTGCCGCTCGCCACGGCCGCGAGCAGGTCTGTGTGCTTCTTAGACGCCAAGTGGTCAGCCAGGGAGGTCTGGTGGATGGTGAACTGGTCGCTGCACAGGGTACCTGAAGGAAAGAGCAAAACGACGGTCCGAGGGATGTCTGGCCGGGCCCCACGGTGTGAGGTGTGTGTTCACTTACAGTGGATCCAATCGAGGCACTCGATGATCCAGGGCGTATACACAAAACCAACCACCTGAACGAAAACACACAGCAACACCAGTAGTGAGAGACCAACACCTGCAGCACAAACAGCTTCTCATGTCACCTTGTCTACGACCTCTTTGGGCAGCGTAGGGATCTCCTTTCCCTTGGCCACCCCATGCTGACCCAACGCACACGCCGCAGCAAACCGATGCCGCAGGTGGGTCCGCAGACTCAAGTCGAGGTCCTCCGTGCCGCCACGACTTTCGACGCTATCGTGGCACGCAACACACTGCGGGCTTCTTCTGGCGCGCTCTTTACTAGCGAATTGGGACAGAGGGAGCCACTCATGGCACGAGCGGCAGGTCATAACCCGGCTGCAGCGTCGGCAGATCGAGCCGTCGGTACCCGTCCATGCCTTCCCAAAGTCAGATGGCGACAGAAAGCGGTGGCAGACACTGCACTGCTGCTTCATCTGCACGAAGTAACCCTATTCCCTGCACACACACAGAGGACACCATCCAATCCACTCGTCCACTGTATCGTGTTTGCCTGCTTCTCGTCTTACCTGTCTTCAGGAGAGGGAGCCGGACGGTGAAAAAAGACCTACAGTGTGTGTGAGGTGAGCTCCCGTGACTCTCCTTTCCTCGTTTGTATGAGACCCAAACCCTGCAACCCAAACCCTGTTGGAAACACCAGCTCGCACAACCAACACTGCGGCGCTTCGTCGCCGCTCGTCGGCACCTTTTCATCGCAATGGATGAGTTGCTGGAGTGGCTGCAATCACCGAGCGTTGCTTTCCTCGGCGCAGCAGCGGTGGGCGGCGCCGCCTGCCTCGCCATCTTCCTCTACATGAAGGGCAAAGGAGCGGGCTTTGCTGGCATGGAGCCATCGATAGGGAAGGAGGAGAGGCCCTTCGTCAAGCCGCCCAAGCCAGATCCGTGTCCGAAGGATTTCAGCCTCGAGGAGCTCTCGCAGTATGACGGGAGGGACGGGCGGCCCATCTACATTGCAGTCAGAGGTGAGCAGACACACATGGATGAATAGATGGATCTGTCCTGTCCTCCCTGTGTATGTGTCTGTGCTTCCCATGTGTGTGTGACAGGGAAGGTGTTTGACATGACGAGCCACCCCAGCGGCCGTGATTTCTACGGCCCCGGTGCGGGCTACAACTGCTTCGCCGGCAAGGACGCCTCCCGCGCCCTGGCGCGCATGTCGTTCGAGGCGTCCGAGATGAACCGGACCGACTGGGATGACTTGGCGGCGAGCGAGAAGCAGGTACTGGCCGACTGGGAGACCAAGTTCGAGTCAAAGTATGACGTTGTGGGGAGGGTGGTGTGGCCGGGGGGCAGGGGCAAGACCGAATGAGTGAATGGTTAAAAGGTTGTATGTGGTGGAAGTCGTCGCTTTTTCCGTGTTTTGTGTGTGTGCGTTTTCTGTCCGTGTATCTATCTGTCTGTCTATCTTCCTGTCGGCTCTGCGAGTGTGCGTGAGGTGCGAAGAGCGCTGTTTTGTCCTGTGTGTGCTGACACAGTGCATGTCTGGCGCGATACGAAGCTCATTGGGAATCGACAACAGGTGTCAGCAGGCACCGAGATCGATTCACTTCCCTCAGCACTCGGCGTATTAACCATCCATCAAAATGTCACCCATGCACATGCGCTCACGTGTAAGTAGCAGGCGAGAAAGGGCGGCAGAAAGGGCAACAGCAAAATGTCACTCAACCAACGGTTGAAAATCGTGTCAGAAACACCCACAGCTGTCTGTCTGTCTGAAAGTATCTCTCTTCACATCACGCGCGAGCGGCGATCGCCTTGGCATCTGCACTTGTGTCCACTTGGCCAGCCAGCTTGCCCAGAGACCTGTACGCGGCGAAATACCTGCACACCACGCACGCAAACACACACACGCACGTGACGCCAGGCTGAGGTCGGTGTGTGGAGCAAGCCACTCTGACCATTTGAGGTCGTCTTCGAGCCTGTGTTGGGGCCTCCAATCCAGGAGGAGCTTGGCCTTCTCGGGGTTGACGCAGAAGTGTGTGTTGCGGAAGGGGAAGGCGCCCTTGGGCAGGGCGGCCCTCTTGGGGTCGTAGTACACGATGCTCTTGACCGCTTCAGATGGATCCTGAGTGACACAGACAAACAAACATGGAAAAGTGAAGCGATCTCTGTCTGTCTCTGCGTGTGCGTGTGTGTGGTTCTCACCTTGCCGACTGTCTTGGCCACCATCCTGACGATGCCCTCATAGCTGATGTACCTGAGCACCCACATACACAATCAGAACAACATGGGAAACCCTGTGCCCTGCTGGTGGGTGTGGTGTCATATACCTGTCGCTGGCGCAGTTGAAGACCTCTCCGATGGCGTACTGCTTCCCGACGGCAGATATCAACATCGACGCCACGTCCTACACACATACACACATACACACACACGCACACGCACAGACACAGCGAAAAACACCACATAAGCCATCAGAGCACACCACCCAGTTCCCTCCCTCTGTCGGTGTGTGTTTGCCTTTGACCTCTGCGTTGGTGAGTGTGGTGAGTGTGGCTCCTTCGTAGGGGATGGGTATGGGCAGGCCGTGTGTGACGCGGTCGAAGAAGAAGTCAAGGTAGTCCCTCTTGTTGGTGTACGGCCCGTAGATGTACTGCGGCCTGAAGGACGTCCACGGCACCTTCATCGCCTCGAGCGTCTTCTCCACCTGACGCTGCCCCGAGTCGTCCTTGACCTTGGTCTTCTCAAGGATGGGGAACTCATCCCCTGTGGGCTGGTACATGCCGCCGGAAGACACGTACATGTAGTGCTTGACGTTGTTCTTCTTCGCAAACTCGGCGATGGGCCGCACCGTGCCCTCGTCCTTGGACCAGTTGTCGAAGACCAGGTCGAACGTCTTGCCCTTGAGCACCGAAGAGAGGTCCCTCTGCGCCTTAACATCTGTCCACACGATGTCCACATACTCCTGCTCCAACTCATTGTAGTGGTCGAAGGGCGGCTTGGCCGTCGGCTGCCCGTCGTTGAGCAGCGTCACTGTGCACCCGGCTGCCCGCAGCTGCTTGGCCAGATGGAACCCCAACTCGCCGTGGCCGCCGCCCTTGTTCTGCACAATGAGGGCGCTGGAGCCCGCCAGCTTCATGACAAGACTGGTCCTCGCGGCTGCATGGCGCCTCAGACTCGCCGCCTGAGTCCTGCTCGGCCTTGAGAGGTGCAGATCACCGGATGGAAGGTGAAAAGCAGCAGCTATTGCTGCAGATGCAAGTGATAGCAAGACGATGCGCTTCATTTGCAGACGAATGACGGCCTTTTTGTCGGGGAATGCAGAAACCACACAGCTCACAGCGGAGAAGGGTCTAGGGTGCTCCCTGAAACGTGCTTCCTGAAACCGCTCTTCTCCCTGAGCTGCCGACTGGGTGAAGAGCAGGAGCAGGTGCTTAGGTGTTGTGACAGAGAAGGGGAGACGATCGGCGCCTTTTGAACGGGCAAGGTGGCATTGCGATGGCCGACCTTGAATTGCCTGACGACAGCAGGAAGCGAAAAGCGGAGGAGCTGGACAAGCGGACTGAGGAGAACGGCGACAAGACCGCCTCGACGAGTGGTCCTGCTGCGGCTGCCGCCAACAAGTTCAAGAACGACGGCTCATTCCTCGAGATGGTAAGGATGCAGGCGCTATATAAACAGACAGACAGCGGATGATCAGATGCGCCCGCCGGGTGTGATGATGAGCGTGGCTTGCCCTTTCCGATGAGAGCAGTTCCTCAGCATGCAAGGACAGAAGAAATCCGCACCCTCCACCGCCGAACCCAACAGCAACTCGGCCAAGCCCAAGGCGGTCTCAAGTGCACCGCTGCAGGGGTTTGTGAAGGCTGGTGAGGCGCCAGCCGCCAAGGAGGGGAAGGAGAGGGCGGCCAAGAAGGCCAAGAAGAACACCAAGGACCAGGAGAACGGGGCGGGGGAGGGGGAGGGGGAAGTGGATGAGGAGCGTCGAAAGCACGAGGAGGAGTTCCTGCGGATGATGCGGCTCAACGAGGAGATGCACGGGGATGCTGACAGGGGCACCGGACTTGGTAAGGAAGGATGGGCAACAAGAGCGCAGGAAGGAAGGAAGCCGGGCATCGTTCACGTGCGTCGGGTGTGTGTCATGCGTGGGTGAGTGTGGATGGTATGTATGGCCACTTATTGATTGCTCGCAGGACTCGTCAAGTGACTGTCGGTCGGTTGATCCAGCTGACTGGCAGACAGACTGTGCGACTGTTCGGTCAGTCTTGTCACACACATAGCTATAATGAATACCCTAGCACACAGAGGCTGAGCAGCGTCTGCCTGTCTTATAGCCGGCAAAGAGGGAGAGAGGGAGGGAGGTTAAAGGGGAGAGCGGATGATCTTTTCTGCAGCGTGTGTGCGTCGGGGTGGTGTTGTCTAACTAGTGGTTGCTGTGGGGATGGACTGGTCGGTGCATCCATCGTACTGTCAATTGACCTTCCTTTCGATGATCATCATAATCGATTCCCTGTCTACAACCACATTCGTCGACACATGCACCGACACACACTGAAAGGTGACCTCTTAGCAGGTCCCACCACATCTAAACACTCGCACCCTACCCCTCAGTAGTCGTCACGCCCAGTGCGTGAGGCTCCACATAGCCACTCCACTGCACAAAGTCACTTTGATTGCCGCGATCGAAGTCACTTGCGCCAGGACTCACACCCGCACCCAGACTGCCGTTTCTTGGCACACTCACACGCGCACCCCCAGCCCTGTCAGCCCCCGCCGCGGCCCTCCCGACCAGCGATTGCGACCTCACTGAGTGCGGCACGCTGTGCACGAGGTCCATCAGGCTGGCAATAGAGATCGGCTGTGTGGGCCCTGCCGGCTGCAGAGAGCGGAGCGGCAGGTATGCCACCTTGGTCTCGAGCTCGTGGGAGGAGGGGATGATGATGTCCATGGTGTAGGGGGTGACGGGGATCTCCTTCTCGTGGAACACGTCGAGCGCCGACAGGCACGCCGCGACCTCCAGGTGCATCGACGACGACTCCAGGGGAGCCCCACGGTCAGAGGGTCCCATGATTGAGTCCATCTGAAGGAACCAGAGCAAAACGGATGTGGGAGGCCTTCTTCTGTCGGTGCTTTTGTGACCTCTTCTTGGGGAGCGATCTCATCGAGTGTTTGCTGCACACGTGGCTCAAGGGGCTCGATCAGGCCGTATCGCACAGCCTGCTGCAGCACTACTTGCCTGCAGAAACACATGACACGTGTACCAGGATGCATCGCCTGTCGTGAGTGAAAGGCCCTTTTGACCTCCTGGCTGCTGTCCGCTCCCTTCGTGTGTCTCGCGTTTTCTGCTTGAGCACCAGATCCAGCCAGGCAGGCAGGATCTCGCGGGCCGCCTCACCCTACACACCGCCAAGCAAACAGACAGACAGACAGTTTTCCATTCCATCACGATTTCTAGATTTCTGTCTGGCCGGCTGGCTGCCCTCCCCACCTGTAGAATGATCAGGCTGGAGGCGAGAGTGGAATCCCTGAAGACGTTGAGAGACGTTGACCTCAAGGCCAGCGCAACAGCCCTCCAGCAGTGGACCGGCTCATCGATGACGCGATAGTCCAGCTGGCCGGCAGCCCTCACCAGGTTGCAGAGGTCCACCGCCGAGAGCTGGTCCGGCAGGGCGTAGAACTCCTCCGAGTGCTCCCCGCCAGCCGTCATGAAGTCGGCGTTTTCCGCCCTGGCCCGCTCGATGAGGCCTCGCGTGTCGGCCATCACCACCGCCTCTGTCGGATCGGACTTCTTGACGGCTGCCGGCTCATCAATGTCAGTATCATCTTCTGTCATGCCGTCCTGCAGAGCCGTGACGGGCTGCCATGGGGTGTTGGCCACCAGACCTGCGCGAGAAAAACCGCACACTCATTTCCCGGTCCATTGCATTACCGAGCTGACGTCTGTGGGTTGCGCACATGATCTGAGTCGCCTGATTCTCGGTGGCTTGTTCTTGACGTCCCTGTCGGTCGACAGCCAGTGGGCGAAGAACTTGTCAAGGCTCTGCAGGGAAGCCTTCAAGAGGTCCTCGTCGCGATAACGGACCTGGAAAGAGGCAGATACAGCGGGCGGACTGATTGTGTGCATCATCGTGGCGTGTGGTGTGGTGTTTGCTTGTGTCTGGCCAGACCGCCAACCACCCCCCCAGCTACCGACCCGTTCCATGGCGGAAATCATCCTCATGAGCTGCACGGGTGTGAATTCGTAGAACTTGCCCTTGACGACACTCGCCATCCGCGTGTAAAACTCCTCATCCTAGCCACATCAGACGCATACAGCTATGTAGAGGCGGTTCTGTGTGTTGTGTGTTCTGTGTTGTGTGTTGTGTGTTGTTGGTACCTCCAGCCCGGCGTCGGCATAGGTCTTGAGAATGGGCGTCAGCTGCGCTGGCGAATACGCCTGAGTCATCAGCCATGCATGGCCATCAGCCATCACATGTCACAACAAACAGACCCAATAATCACTCATCGAGGAACGCAGCCCTCCCGTCCCGCGTCTGTCTCTGCATGCATGTGTCTGTACCTCTCCCTTGTCCTGCACCCTCTTGGCCATGAGGAACATCCAGAACTCGTCCAACGCGTCACGAGACGACCCGACAGTCAGGACGAACGCCGTCATGACGTTCGGCCGCAGACCGTCCACGATGCCGCACACGTAGTCGGTGAAGGCCAGCACCAGCGGCCGATCGACACGCGCAAAGGTGGCTGCACTCTGGAACAGGGCCGCAATGCGATAGAGGGGCAGTCGGTCGCAGTGGGTCCGCATCTGCGAGCAAATCATCGCCTGCACGTCCCGCCACCTCGCCGCAAAGTGGACGGCATAACCGCTCTGAACGATCCCCTCGTACATGCGGATCATGCCAGAGAGCGAGAGGCCAAGCACCAGCGACTCGAGCTCGCCAGTCTGCTTGTTGACCGACCCCGCTTGCAGCAGCCGCTCCACAAACGGTGACACACACCTTGCGAGCATGGCGTCGGCCAGCTTTTCCATCTTGATGGTCTCGAGGTCCCTCATGCTGTCGGCCCTCTTGAACACCCGGGGCACAGCCAGGGCGCCCAAGGCCGCCATGACGTTGGTCAGATCCCCCAGCTGCAGCCCTTTGATGTGCGGCTGCAGAAGGTTGTTGAACAGCGACACATTCTGGCCGTCACTCCTCATCGAGGGAGCTGAAAGGTCCACGGCGATCACCCCATTGCCGCCGTAGCGCAGGAAGAGGATGGGAGGGAAGCAGAGGGCCACCAATGAAGGTTTGACTTTGACGGAGAGGTCAGGGGCTGGCTCGGCCGGCCACACGGCCCGAGCAGTGCTGACGACCTCTTGGCTCATCACAGGAAGGTAGATAGTGGCAGTAGCCTTTGCTGTATCGCCTCCTCCCTCTTCAGTGGCCGTGTCTTGACTTAGGTCTGAGGGGTCAGCCATCCTGGTTCTCTCCAGGTAAACCTCTTGCGGCCCGATCATGTCACAGAAAAGCTCCCACAGCTTCTCGAACGACATGCCGTCAACACCCACATCCCAGACGTCAATCGGCCCGTCCTCAGGCAGCTCCTCCGCCGGCCTCCCGCCCCACACCGTCCTCTCCCACTCGCCAGGAGAAAGGGGCCTCTTGCTCTGTGGCTTGCTGGGCTGGTTGGCGGTGGGCGGCCTGACGTACTCCTTGCTGCCCTGCTCCACGTGGTAGCGGGGATCTATCGACCAGAAGGCACCATCGGGGAACCCGTGGGGGTCCTGCCACTGAGTGCTCTGTTCAGGGAGCGTTGCAACGAAGCGATGATGATGCACTCGCGATGAGTGGACGGGCGGCGGGAATGATGAATGCGTGGGAGGGCAGCTGAAGGCCGCAGATAATGGTGGTGGTCGGGAGAGCCGCTGTCGCACCCTTCGAGACAACATTGAGAGGCGTTCACTCATCGCAGCGACAGATCATCCGCACCACTTGTTGCCGAGAAAGCTGTGGAATGGGATGGATGAGGGATGCAGCTCTCACGGACGGCGCCTTGGTTGTGAATGCATCGCCAATGACGTACCAATGCTTTGAGAGGTAGATCAACGATATCGACAGACTCCTTGCGGCCTTCTCAGGCCGTTCAACACCGCCACAAGCCTTCAAAGAGCTGATTTCTCAGAAGGCGATCCGAGTTGGCTCTTCACAATTGAGCTTGCAGGCCTGGAGGCGCCGAACTCATCCCAAGCCCCTTGACATTGTTCAGTGATGTCCACTGGGCCGCCAGGAGTCGAGATTGACACTCCCTATGCGATGTCGTCACAAATGCCGCTGGTTCTTCATCGAGGCAGCTGCCATTGTCTGGCCGTCAGGTTTGAGGTGCAGGCGCCTGCCGTGCTCAACGTCATCGATTGCAAGTCAGAGAGATGATGAACGACCAAGCGACTGCTCGAAACGCGGCGCTTGAATGGCTTGGCTTAATGTGTGTGTGTGTGCGTCTTGTGTGTGGTGTGTGTGTGTGTGTGTGCAGCTGTTCCATCTGTGCCATCAAGAGCAACCTGCACTTCATCGTTCCAAAAGCCAGATTCAAGCTCCTACAGGTCAGTCAGGGCTGCCGGCCGACACACATGCAATAAGTCCCTCTGTCCGTGTGCATGGCCATGGGTGTAGGGTGAGGAGATGCTGACGTGCTACCGATTCAACTCGATGCAGGCGCAGCACCTGTTCTGCAAAGTCTGTGGCGTACAGTCCTTCTATATACCGAGGTCGAACCCAGACGGATACGGTAAGCAATGCACCCACAATCCGAGCTGCTTAATTTCTCTTTCCGCCTTTCCGTCAATCGCATCGATCGCATTCATCAGGTGTGAACCCCAGGTGTCTGGACCCCTCCACCATTGACAAGATCGTTGTGGAACACTTTGACGGCCAAAACTGGGAGAGGGAGTTCGATCAGAAACGGCAGGCACTGGCCGAGAGGTCCGCCGACTCCAGCTCTTCTTCACGGCCGACTTCAACGAGTGAGCGGTCGGGCGATTGAGCAAAGGCGGCAAAGGGGGCTTCTCTATCTCGTTATGTATCTCGTAATGCTCTTGCTGGTTTGGCTTTCCTGCCAGCTGATGCACGGTTACAACAGGGTGGCTGAGCTGACTGAAAGGGCGCTGGTGGATAGATAGGACATGCGTGTAGAGTGGGCCCTCTTCGCCCTCCTTTTTGTGGGCGGGTCTCTGCGTATGCACACATGGATGGATGGATGGATGTGTGTGTGTGTGTGTGTGTGTGTGACGGCTGGACTCTTCGTTAAGACTGACACCTGGGCACCCAACCTGCACATATTTACTTGATCATCCCAATGTATGTATGCAGTCAGTCAATCCATCAGTCAGTCGACAAACGCCACCCATTCACCACCCCAGCCAGCCACTCGCCCCTGTGCACCAGAGACCCAGCCAACCCATTCCACCCCCCGAGCCCCCGGCCCCTACCAACCTGCCAGTGGCTGTGTGTCGGTGTGTGTGTAGAGGTGTGTGTGCGCGCCTCCGACGAGAGTATAACTAGGTCCGTTTCAAGCTCTCTGTCAAGTGCGGCATGGTGCGCTCGTACATTTTATAGAATCCCTCGGTCTGCACACACGCCAGATGCAGAGCAAGCCTGCATGTGTGTGTGCTGTGCCGCCCTCACCGTGCAGTGTCCAGGTATGCAGCGGCAGTTGAGGGTCGTTCCGTCGTCCGCGGTGATTGAGCCGCACGGCTGCCCAACACTCTCGGGGTCATCCTCCGGGCACATGTAGTTGTTGGCATAACAGCCTGCGCCAGAGGCTGACAGACACAAAGATGCTCCATCCATCCATCCATCCATCCATTGGTCCGTACCTCTATCCGTGCCCTTGGTGATGAGATCCATCAGCTGTGTATGGGCGGTCTTGGCCATCTCAGCCGCCACCTTGCTAATCGTATTCGCCGCTTCCATCATGTTGTTGGCCTGCCGCACCTGCTGCTGCACGAGCGACAGCCGATACTGGAGGCCAGACGCACCCGCCAGCATACCTGCAGACCAACGTGCCCATCCATCCATCCATCATCCGCCCATCGGATGCCCCTGGATAGATACCGTATACATACCTTTTTCGCGTTTGCCGACGGTCCCCCCGCTTGCTGACGCCACCGTGACACAGATGGCCAAAACCAGGGCAGCGATTCGAAGCGCAAACATCAACTTCATCCCACCCCAAGCAGCAGCGGTTTCAGGGAGCCCCAAGCCTATGCGAGCTTAGAAAAACAGGACAGAAAAGTCGTCAGCAGTAGTCCCTAATGTGATGTACGATGGGTTCAGGACAGGCGAAGGACGCCTCGCGCGAAGAAGATCCGCCGTTTTGTTCATCCCCTTGCGGCACTCGCTTCATCAGCACTGTGCTGTTGCTCATGTGCCTCTCACTCGCCAGCACAGCCCCCCTGCACCACTCGCCAGCCTTCCAGCCATGCAGACCCCTGCCGTGGATCAGCCGGCGGCCGATGGTGCACGTCATGATGTCCAAGAAAGGAGGCCGGCACGCCGCTTCTGAACCTGAGAGCGAGGCGGGAAAGCTGAGGGTGCGTATAGAGGAGCTGGAGCGACAGCTCAAGGAGCAGCAAGTGCAGCAGCAGAAGCTGCTCGCCATCGCAACCAAGGCAGCTGTGGCCGCAGAGAGCAGGTGGGCGGCCGCGTGGGCACACCACACCCTAACGACCTTCCCATGTATCTTTGTTTCTCTGTCTGAGTGTGTGCCGAGTGCAGTGGTGGGAAGGGCGGCGCTACAATGGACAGCAGCATGCGTCAGCGAGTCGTCCCGCCTGAGCTGCTACAGCTGGTCAGCAAACACACACCCATTCCACGATCTATCTACCAGCCAAATGTTGGCAGTGCACTCACTCATTGATGGCTCGCTCGTTTAGCTGTCGATTCCGTACGAGGAGCAGCTGCTGGCAGCATGCAGTGTGGCGGGGGCACTGCTCGGACTTATTGTATCAAAGGGGGTAAGAGAACCGATTTACACACCTGCACCGTCACATCCACGTGTTGTCCGTGTGTGGGTCCAGCTGCTGCAGCGGGGCTGGCTGGGTGCGGCGATCGGGTTGGTGTGGGCGATCAACAACTATGACAAACCTGGCAGGTCCGAAGTAGAGATTTTGTTGGGGCAGACAACACACGTCAGCACACCTCTTTGTCTTCTTGTTGGGGGACGTGTGTGTGCAGGGTGTCGCGTTGGGTGCGCGCGACGGGCCGTCTGTTCGTGTTGGCCTTCTACCAGTGGAGATATCTCGTGGAAGACCTCAAGATGAAATTCAGGGTGAGTGTGTGCACGCACATGCCGGCGCGCGGCCTTTGCGAGAATGGGTGTAAAGATCGATCCCTCTCTCTCTCTCTGCGTGTGTATGCTGTGGTCATATTCATCAGGCGTGGAAAGTGTATGAGCGCGCCTTCAAGCGCTTCGAAGACTTGGACAAACAGGTTAGCCCGCTTTTTTCGTGGCACACGCATACCATACGTGACATACGCTTTTTGTGTGATGCCTGTCTGTCGCGTCAGCACAAGATGCTGGACAAGCTGCAGGCCTTCGACGAGCGGCACCAGATATCGCAGAACGTCCAGACCACATGGAAGAAACTTGCAGATGGGACGGGTGAGCACCCACACACATACGCACGCGCGCACACACCACTGCTCACTCACTCACTGATTGGTCTGCTGTTGGTTTGTCTGTCTGTCTGTCTGTTCAGTTCAAAAGGATGCCCGCACGGCGCTCGCCCACAGCGCCACCCAAGCACAGGCATCCTGGCGGACCTTCTCCAAGGAGGCCGCCAAACGGTCGGTCGGTACACACGAGCAGCGCAGCGTGCCACTCACCCACCCATGTGTTTGATTTCTCTCTGCTGTGTGTGTGGCCAGGTGGGATGAGTTCATCGAGTCTCACAGCCGCGCTCAGAAGCCAAACACAAGCGCGACAACAACAGCAGCAGCAGCAGCAGCAGCAAACACCACTGTCCCTGCTGCCGACGCACACACGGGGTCGCTTGTTGCGCCCATCGACCAACAGAAGCCACCGACAACCGAGCGGCCCAACGGCCACCAGCCTCAGGACGAGAAGAGAGGCGCCAGTGCCGCTCGTGTAGCAGTAGGGGAACCTGTGGCGAGCGCCACACAGACAGACAGGGGAGTGACTGAGTGAGTGAATACGGGAGAGCCGAGAGGGAGTGGGTGAGTGTACATATAGCCGGACGTGGCCGGCGGGCTGGCCGGCTGGCTGCTCTACTGGGATTTTTACCCCACGTTGTGAAAGTGTGTGTGATTGCGGGTGTGGGTCGGGCGGGGCGGGGTGAGTGCCGTTTTGTTGCAGTGTGACTTGAGTGCGTCAGGGTACCTACCGTGCTGCTCGCTTGGATGGGCGGAGAGGGCGAGAAAGAGAGAGAGAGAGAGGGTTTATCGGTGTGGACCAGTCAGTCCAGCCAGCTCGGGTAGACAGGTACCTAGGTGGACGTACGTACCGATGTGCCGACCCGCTGTTTGTCCCTTCCTTCCCACTAGGTGTGTGCCAGCTACCTACCTACCTACCTTCATAGCTGTCTGTCTGTCTGTCTGTCTTGTACAGTGAGTGACCAATTGAGGGCTTTTACACAACATACATGTGATGGATGGTGGGGGTGGATTGGATTCTGACAGACAGACAGACAGACCGACACAGACAGACAGAAGAATGCTTGTTGCTTGCTTTGGGGAGAGTGAATGAGTGAGTCCCCTCCCAGCACAGCAACCACATGAACGTACACACACGGCCCTATGGATAGCTATGTCACATCGCCCCGCCAGGCCTTACCGCCTAAGCCGCCCCACCACACGAAACGAGCACCATCCCCATCCAGCTGTACAAGCACACCGAGTGCCGCTGTACACCGCCAGCCCGTGCAGCCGTCCGTCAGGCAGTCTGCCTCAATCCGTCCGTCATCCACGTCGTGGATGCGTTGATTGATCAATAAACGACTGGACCAACCGCCCCGCCCCATCATCAACATGATGTGCACGCATCGGATCACGCCTCTCATCCCCCCTTGACCGCCTTCTCAATCTTGTTTTCCCTCACCGAAATCGTCAGCGAGGGCACCTTGCCGTGCCCCTCGAGCACCAGACCACCATCGCTATCGCCGCGGAGGATGCCCCAGGCGTTCTCGGACGGCAGGCACTCGAGCGGCGACGCGAGCGTGATGTGGTGGATGCCATGGGAGTCGACGGCCTCGCCGCCGTCGTGATCGTGGCCTGGAATACGAAAGACAGAGAACGAAGAAAGGGGTCAGCGAATCAGCAGCATGCTGATTGCTTCTGCGGCTGTTGACTGACTGACTGGCTGACCGTAGAAGCAGGCGACGACGCATTGGGTCTCGTGGAGGACCTTCATGGCGTCTTGGTAGTTCCACAGGATGGTGGTGTCCTTTGTCGAGGGCGGGTAGATGGGGATGTGGCTGAACAGCAGCACCTGACGAAGGAAGACTCACACAGACAGACGCAGCGATCCGGGGGCCCAGAGATAGACGAGCGGACGGTGCGGGCGGGCATCGACGGCTCACGCACTGCACCTTCTCGTCTGCCTTGTCGGCCTTTGTGAGGATATCTCTGAGCCACTGCAGCTGCTGCTGTGTAACGCCGCCGTTATAATGCACCCATCGCTTCGCCTGACCCCTCATCCCAGCCAACCTGACAGACAGACAGAGATGTCACACATGAATCTCTCTGCCGGCGTCTCACACAACCACTGACTGACTCACCAGTCTCTTTTGGCGTCGCGTATGTTGTGGTTGTGCTTCTTGAGCCACTCCATGGCCTCGGCGTGTCGGGGGTGGCCCTCATCCCAGCCGCAGGAAGACACCTCATACGAGTCCAATACCACCAGACGCCTGCATTGCACAAACCAACACACACACACCCATCAGCCAGCGCGGTTAGACAGTTGTGTGTGTCAACCAAACTGACCATCCATCGGCGATTTGCACTTGGTAGTAGGCTCGGTCAGGGTCGCCGTCGAGTGCCACGTTGCTGAGCAGACGCTTCACCCACTCCTGACGAGGCAAGTTCTGACCGAATGAGCAGCAAGAGACAGAAATGAACACACACACACGCACACACACGATTTTTCTGCTTACGTAGAATTCGTGATTGCCCAGCAGAGAGTAGAGAGGGCATGTGAGGCGGTTGAGCTGCTCCATCACCAGCCGCAGGGCCCTCTCGGAGGGATGCTCCTCCCCAGCCACCTGTTTGAGGCCCTTGTTCTTGCCGTCAATCAAGTCACCCAGCTGACCAAACACAACACGCGCGCACACACTCACAACTTCTCGTGAACACACTCTGCATGCGGCCTGTCCGTCTGCCTGTCTGCCTGCCTGTCTGTCTGTCTGTCTGTCCGCACCTGTATGACGCCGTCGAGAGAGCGTTTGTTCCACTCGTCGACGGCCTTCTGGAGCAGTTTCAGCGACTGGCGGTAGTATCTCTTGCGCGTCCTGGCCTGCACACAACATACACCACACAACACAACACAGCAGATGGTGAATCGCCATGCGGTAACATGAGCCCCGCCCCTCTCTGTTCTGTGTCACAACACTCACAAAGTCCCTACACATACAGCACAGCAGTCCACAGATGTGAGATGGAGTGTCATGCCCCTGACTGCCTCCATCTTGCTTTCTCGGCATACCAGCCGTCGTCGTGATCGGCATACTGGACATCAGCGATGATTCCAAGCGCGAACGAGCTCCTCTTCGGAGGCATCTGCAGCATCGCCGGCTGGGCGAAGGAAGTGGCGACAGATGAGGCCCGGTGGAAGAAACCCAGGAAAGGCAAACACGTCGCTGTGGATGCCTTGGATCCCATCAAAATGCGTTGGAGATCATCGCCATCTCCCTTGTCTAAGCTCGCAGTGGAGCTCGCAACTCGAGGACTATTCTGGGCAATAGAATCATGGAGGGCACCGCAGGTGAGGCCGACCCGTCGCTGCTCACGCGTCAAGACTCGACAACGATGACGACGTCCCGGTTCCGCCAAATTTTCAAGGCCAAGGAGGCTGAGATGGCCCAGCTGTACCAGCAGCAGCTGGCGGAGCTCGAGTCCATGCTTGATCGCAAGAAGGCCCAGCTGGCGGCCCACCAAACGGAGCTCGCCACAGTGCAAAAGAACTTCGCGCGTCTCGAGGACGACTTCCACTACAACCTGGAGCTCCTGCGGCAGCGCGACGCTGAGCTCGAGGGCTATGACACCAAGACCAGCGAGCTCCTCAACGAGCTGGGCGCCAAGGAGCAGGAGGTCCGGGATTTGCACAGCCAGGTGGCATCGCTGGAGACCAAGCTGCAGGACGAGCTCAGCCGCCGGGTGGACGAGTCGACCTACCACCAGAGCAAGATAGACGAGGTGCGCAAGGTGCTGCAGACGGCCCAGGGCGAGTACGAGGCGGAGCTGAAGCGCAGGCAGGCCGACATGGAGGCGGCTGTGAGTGGGTGCCAGCGGTCGATGCGCGAGAAGGAGGCGGCCATGGAGCAGCGGCAGCGGGAGCTCGGGGCCTTCTATGAGCAGAAGATGGAGGGGGTCGTCAAGGACAAGGACCGAGACCGCCAGCAGCACCTCAACACCATCCTCACGCTCGAAAACAAACAACAAGAGAGTGAGTCAGTGAGCTGCCCCACTGCATTAATGGCCCGCCCTCCCTCCCTCACCCCTCCTGCACGAGTGCATCAATGTGTGTTTCTTTGTTTGATCGGTGGGTGCATGACATGATCGCATGCAGGCGCCAGTCGCATCGCCTCCCTCACAGAAGAGCTGGAGACCACCTCTGTCAAGCGGCAGAAGGCAGAGGAGCAGTGCCACTTGCTGGAGAGGGCATTGGGCGACGCGCGAGCCACCCAGCAGCAGCTGACGGAGCAGCTCCAGTCGCTGCAGCAGAAGAGCAACCAGATGGAGCAGACGCTTGCAGGTACTCATCTATCTATCTGCGAGAGCGGATGACTGCATGGATGGATGTGCGGACGCCTGTGTGTGTGCAGAGGTGCGTGAGTCGCATGCCGCGGAGCTGATTCGCCTGCGTGACGAGCATGCCGTCACGTTGAGAGGCGCTGCAGGCGATGTGCATGAGCGCATCCAGCAGCTCTGCCAGGACCACGCCAAACAGGTTAATGGGACATCCATCCAGCCATTCATCCATATGCCTGCCGATTCATGGCAACTTCAGGTGCGAGAGTTGACCATGGCGCATCAGCGGCAGGTGCAGCGGCTCGGTGAGGAGGCCGAGGAGCGAGCTAACAGCGCCCGAGATGAAGCCGCACGGAAGCTGCTGGCCGTCACTTCTCAGTTGGAGCAGGAGAAGGAAACAATCGTCCAGCAGCTCCGGGTATGCAGTGCACGCATCAACAGGCCGGCAATGAGTACGTTCGTAAGTGAGTCTGGTTTTGTGTCTTTTGGTGCCCTATCCATATGATCAGACTGAGGTGGGGTCTCTCCGTAACCAGCTACAGTGGAAAGACAAGGTCAGCCAGCCAGCCGGGCAGCCAGCTATCGATCGCACCAAGCCACAAAACGCCATTTTGTGTGCGTGACACGTACATGTGTGCAGGAGTTGTGTGCGGCCAAGGAGGGCTACGAGAGGGAACTGCTGACCGCTCGCGAAGAGGCGCGTATCAAGGTCGGGGGGGGAGAGAAAAATGCCATGCGCCATTTGTCGGTATGGTGCATCGATCGATCCCATCATGAATGGCAGGGCATTGAGGCGGGCGACTTGGCGGAGAAGCTAGGGTGCCTCGAGCGTAGAGTCATACCGGCACTCAAACAAGACATGCAGGTCAGCCGTCAGCCAGGCACAGCACTTACGACACAGACAGACAGACAGACGGACGGACGGCACACATCTCTCTGTCTGCCCGCCTCTGTGTGTGTTGTATCCCTTGTGCAGCTGGCGTCGATCGAGCTGCAGCGAGTGAGGGAGCAGCTGGAGTCTGCCCGGCGCGACGCCGACGTGCGGCGGCAGGAGATCCTCTTCCTGCACCAGCAGGCGCAGCAGCGGCTCGCACACACCCTCCACACCACCGTGCCACGAGCAGAGGGGAACGATCGCACACACGGCGCCGTGGCAGATGGGCCCGGGGGCGACAAGAGGGCGGCATCGCTCCCGCCGGGCTCGCCCACTCGAGCAGGCAGGATGCAGAGAGACGGGGCCTTTCCATTGCTGGAGCTGAGCAGGTGCGCGAGACGGGGCGGCAATGGGCGCAGAAATGTGTGGGGCGGTTGTCAGGCCCGTGTGTGAGGCTCCGCCACGTCTGCTGGCCGAGCTAGAGGAGGCCAAAGACCAAATCAAACAGCTCAGGGTACGAGGCGAGAGAGAGAGAGGAGACAGAAAACACACACATCGATGCTCTTTGTCTTTGCCTGCAGACCCAGCTGGCGGGCGCCACCCACCCTTCGTCAGCGGCAGCGACCACACGGGTGCCGCCTCCCCCTGCTGGTGCTGCCCCTGGTGCTGCTGACGGCAGGGGTCACGTGCCGCTGTTCCCGGGCGACATGGGGCCGATATCGCCAATCCTTTCGCCCGGACACATGATGGTGCGTCGATGGACGGAATCGATTGGATGGATGGATGGATCAACGGTGTGTTGTGTTTGTGTGTGTGTGTGTGTGTGTGTGTCGCCATCAATCCATGCCTTCTTATGCAGTCCGGCGGGCTGACCCCGGCTGCCGATGAGCGTGACAACACCACCGATGCCCTCCACACACGACTCAAAGACCTGGTACACACACACACACACACACACATGCGCTTCCTGGTCTGGATGACTTCTCCCCTTCGTGTTTCGTGCTTGGATCGGTCGACTCAGGAGCATCAGAACGACCGTCTGCGCGCCGCCATTGCCGCGATGCGTCGCGACGCTGAGGGGCCGACTGTTGCAGAGCAGCCACAGCAGGCGGTGAGCAAATGACCGAATGGCCTAGTAGCCATGCAGAGAGACCCACGAAGCGGGCTTGGCGTGTGTGTTTTGTTTGTTGTGTATGTGTGCAGGAGGCGCCGTGTGTGGAGCTGACTCAGGCTTGCGAGGGGCTGCGGAAGAAAGTCCACCACCTGACCCAACAGATCTCACACCTGCAGGTAGGTGCCCACACAGACAGAGATACCACACATCTGCGCAAGCAAAATTGCCTCGATGGATGCAGGACGAGCGTGTGGAGCTGATGGATCTGTCGAACCACCTCCGGCGGCAGCTCATCCGCTGCCAAGGCCAGCTGCACAAGTACACGACGGACAGCCCACAGGCGCAACTCAACGACCTAGACTACGACCTCCCCCGCCAGTCGCTCGACTCAGAGGAGCCCTCGCCCCCCCTCGACGAGCCACAGCCGTCAGCCCCTCCTCCGAGGGCGCAGTCGACGGGCCGCAGCAGGAACCGGGATGAGGGAGTGTACAACGCAATGCGTCATGTGCGGAGTGTGGCTGGGGGCGTGACGCCGCCGCGTGTGAGGCAGGGGGAGCTGGAAATAGAGGGCATGGGCTACGGGCGGCACGTGCTGTAGATTGGACATATATTCGTGTGTGTGCGGCATCGACCGATGTCGAGACGATCGGTGTGTGTGTGTGTGTGTGAGGAAGGAAGGACATTCATTGCAATTGTTGAAGGAAGGAAGGAATGTTCGTTGAAAAAGTATGTCCGTCGATCCATCCATCCGTCATCGTTCGTGTCTGTTTCTCGTCCAGCCATCCATCCATCCAGGCGTGTGTGACGGCCGCTCCATCCATCCATCCACTGGCACCCACTGCTGGTACACCCCCACGAGACGACAGACGACGTCCCCGATCGACAGCTCTCTCTCTCTCTCAACCAACGCACTCTCCCTCCCTTGAAACACCGTCGCCATCTATGGTACAACTACCTCCTCTCACACTTGTCGTTCACACACCACCTCAATCCACGTCGATATAGTGTGCCTTTCTGTGTGTGTCTGTGAGTTTTGATGTATGTGTTCATCGGCGGAACATGGTGTTGCCGGGGATGACGCCGGCGAAGTAGAGGATGCGCTTGCGGGGCCCCAGGGGGATGGCCAGGTCCTTCAGCTTCTGCTCACTCACCAAACCCTGGACAATGCCTTCATACGTTAGCTTCTCACGCACTGCGGAACACAGCCACAGAGAGAGAGAGAGAGAGAGAGACATGCCTCGTCTCGTGTCGTGTCGTGCGTGCTTCGCCTGACCGAGCGATGCCTCGTATTCGGCAGCTTCGGCCTTGATCAGCAGGTCCTTGAGGTCAGCCTTCATAGCGATACTCGCGCGAATATTCTGAATCGTCTCGGCGGTGATCCCGCCCCCCCGCCGCGGGAACTCATACTCACCAGCACCTACACACACCTTATGCAGGTCATACGCCACACGCCCAGGGGAACCCACAGCGGCAGCCACGGGGGGCTTCCCCGACTGCTGCTGCTGCTGCTGCGGCTGCGGCTGCGGCTGGCTGCCCGCTTTCATGCCCTCCTTGATGGGTCCATCCTGTTTGGCCACAGCCTTGCCCGATTTGGCCTCTTTCCCGTTCGCTTCGTTGCCTTGGGTGCGGGGGCCTGGCAGGGGGGGAGACATGGCGGCGGTGTCTTTGCCCGGGGTGGCGTGCTTCTCGGGCGGTGAGAGGCCGCCGAATGAGCTCTCCGTCTGGCTTTCCGACGACCTGTTGGACGGCCGCTCGGTCGCCGTGGCTGTCGTGGCCTTGCTGCGGGTGGCCAGCTCGGGTCGAGTGTTCTTGACCTTGTGGTTGCCGCCCACTTTCTGCCAGCCCTTGTCCTCACCCACAGGGGCCAGCTCTTTCTTCTCCTCCGGTGTCTTGGCCTTGACCTTCTTCGCCCCTTGATCCTTCTTGGTGTCTTTGCCGCCGCTCACGGGGGGGCTGGCGGCCTTGGGAACTCGGCTTGCCTGCTTCTTGCTGCTGCGGGCCCTGCCCTTGCCGCCGCGTGTGGTCGTGTTGTCGTCTCCGGGACGGCTGGCGAGCGATGCTGTCGACTCAGGGGGGGAAGTTGCTGGCTTGGCGGCACGACGAGAGACGAGGGCATACAGGCCGACGAAGGGAAGTCGGAAGACGTACAGAGCAGCCAGAGGCGCTCGGAGGATGCCAGAAACAGCTGAGATGAGAGTGAATGAGCCCGCTTTGATCTCTGTGGGGCGACCTTGGCTCGACGTCGTGGCGGAGGGAGGGTTCTTCGTCGCGTTCTTGCCCTTTCGCGAGGCTTTGTGTTTCTTGGCCTTGCCAGTGGGTGCCATGAGTCGCCTGGCCGCAGAGCAGAAGCCAACGAGATCATTGCAGAACCCATCAGCGAATCCGTAGATAAAGGTCAGCCAGGCCATTCCGATGGCGGGCATCTGGAAAAGCCGGTCGACAGCCGATTTGGGCATGAGGAAGGGCAGAAACACCAGCAGGCAGCAGATGACCGTCTGCAGCAGGTGCTCCTCGGCACTGCTGCCGGAGCGGCACGTGTCTGCGGCGAATATCGGGGTGGGTATCGCCATCTTCTCCGTTGAACCTCAGGGACTTGAAAGGCTTAACGAGCGTTGCGTAGCTGCGGAGAGTTGCACAGAGAACGGAGGACTGCAAAGGAAGGGAAGCGCCCAGGCAAGACAAGACAGAGGACCGAGATAGCGCTGAGACAGGGGGACGGACTCCACGGAAGAAGCAGGCGGTCTTTCCTTTGCAAATGGGTGAGGGCCCAACTAGCAGATGCCGAAAGCCACCTGCAAAAGGACTCCTCTTCCCGGAAAAGATGCCCGAACGATGGGGGCGGGAGGTGGGGGCTGCACTGATTGACAACCACTGCCAGTGCAGGCGCGGATCTCTCAGCGGATCCTCTTCGTGCTTTTGCGGCACGGCGGCACGGCTCGGGCATTCTGGGCTCTTCGTCTCGCTTTGAACAACGAACCGCACGAGTGGCCATGGTGCCTTCCCTGTCCGTCTGCACACATGATCTGAGAGTCAGTCTATCTGTGAGGATTCAGTCTAGATAGTCTGCACAGGCGAATTCAGTCCATCTATCTATCTACAGGGCAGAGACTCACACACAAGATCTGCTGTCCCAGGAAGTAACACGTGTCCCTGAGGCGTCGACTTGGTCGCGCCATCCACATCTATCTATTTCACATCGTCATGCACAACCATTCATGGAGCGTCACTCCCTGAGGCTGCGCCTCCCGATATATGTCTTCTCCACTATCGACAGCAAAACTCCCCAACAGCCTCAGCGAACGAATGGGAGTTCTCGACCGTGATCTGATGCGCGCAGTCGGGCAGCAGTTGAACGTCGAACGTCTGAAAGCAAAGACAGACATCAATCACAATATGCAGGCAGCGCAGCGCTGCCGACCTACCTGCGGATTCATGGCTTTGAGCTGATGGCCAGTAGAGGCATCCACCCAATCACGCTCGCCTGAGTGAGTGGAACGAATGCACAAACAAGAGTGACCGGCCGTCAGCATGTATGTATGTATTTTGTGTGGACACGACGGTCGGCTCACTCACCGTAGAGGAAGAGCGTCGGCATCGGCAGCTGACGCACACGATCAAACAGAGGCTCTCTGCCACACGCACACCACATGCACAAAGACAGACAGCCCATGCGCGGACACGTACGAGAAGGTCCGTCCGGAGTGTATGCCTCCCTCGATGTTCACTCACTCACCTTGCAAACACTGTGGGTTCGAACAGAGTGGTGATTGCGGTGTCGGCTGAAGCAGCGTTCGCATTCACGTGATACACTGCAGTCGCAAGGGACACAACACGGCAGGCAGGCTGACCACACCGAACACACCTCTCCCTTCCAGTCTGTCTATGGTGCCCACCATAGTCTTGTATCTCGCCGTTCGGGTAGATGTGCTCCCCTATCCGCTTTGACAACGCCCCCCTCAGCAGCCCCGGTCCGATGGGGCCAATACCGCGGAGGAGAGCCAGTGGCGTCACATCCATGTCCCACAGGCCCCTGACCGTCCCCACGAGAGTGCGGACGTACCAAGGCGCGCCGGCGAAGCCATCCCGCAGCTCTTCCGGCTTCTTCTGGATGCCTGCACACACAGATGGACAGACAGGAGCATCCCATCCCATCGTCAGCCTTACATACATCAGTGAGTCCCCTCGGTGCTGTTGGTGCCTGCCCTGCCTGTCTTACACACCAACTGTCGAGGCGAGGATGAGCTTGTGGACACGATGTGGGTACCGCGACGCGTACACTATCAAGCCAAGACACAAAGAGACAAAGACACACACATTAATTCAACTCAGAACACTGATCGCTGATCGCCGATAGGATCGTCAGTCAGCGTCGGTTTCTTGCTCCTACCTGCCGCGAGATAGCCCCCCATCGAATGACCGCACAAGACCATCTTGTCGATTGCCTTCTCTCTCCGCCAGGCCTCCAGAGACTCTGATACATACAGCAACACACCAGCAGCACCAACACCAGCGCATGAAGTGAGTGAGCATCCAACGAAAAAGACGGCGTGATGGATGCACTCACTGACCGACGAACTCCGCCGCACAGTCGAGCGGTTTGTCCTTGTCGAAGCGGAAGGAAGGCCGTGAGGATCGCCCGAAGCCCAGCCAGTCGATGGCATGGCATGTCAGGTGCGAATGGTCGCGCACCATCTTGGCCATAACTCTCGCGAAGGAGCCGCAGCCGCCTCCATAGCCGTGGCAGAAGACAACAGGGAAGCTGGCCCTGCCCTCCGAGGAGCTGCTGGTGCTCTCTGAGCCACTGGCAGGCGAGTCAGGCGGAGGACTGTCACTGGGCTTGCCCGCTGAGTATGTGACAGTATGGATGTGGTGATCTTCGCCGCGGTGGACAATGGCTGTCGGTTTCCTCAAATAAGTCACGTGGCCTGCACACACACGCACAGAAGACAGCATCGCTGCTTGCCAGCGCAGCACCCATGAAATCCTCTCCTCCTGACCTTGTCCATGAACAGACTCGTCAAGCACTCGCTTCTCTGTTTCGTCCAATCTTCGAGCGCTTGTGGGCACCCACATTGGCTCAGCGGCGGCCCTTAGCAGGGAAGGACTTGGCGGAGCGAAGGTGGCGATCCCAGCAAGAAATGAGGGCAGCAAGAGAGCAACAGGATGATGGCCGCGAGTATGGGCGCTGCTTGAAAACCGGAAAAGCCGATTCATCCAAGACCGCCACTGATCAATGAGCTCGCAGGGTTTGGTGGTAGGGTGCTCCACCAAACCGCTGCAGGGTATTGGTGGTGAGCCAAAGCTGTGACCGAATCAATGACTGACACATGGCACACGGCCTGATGATGGCCCTTTGACCGACCCAGCAGTCACCGACGATGACATCTGACCCTCTTGAGGCACTGGATGCAGCTCTTGCTTCTGTTGGCTTCTCCAGCGCCGACTACACCACGCTGCCTCCCGCACGGCGCGCAGTTCTGCTCACCTGCGCCCTTCGCATCGACGAGAGGCATGAGTCGCTGGAAAGCCTACTGCGCTCAATGGAGGAGTACGAGAGGCTGTCACCGGCGGCGCGATTGGACGTGCTTGCTGCCGCTCTGCATCCTGAGAAACGTAGGGAAAAACAGGAAGGGCGGGAAGGACCGACGGGTGCAACCGCGCCTGTTTGTCTTTCTGTCATCAGGTGTGGCTGAATCCTACGCTGAGGCAGCTCCTGAGTGTCAGTTTGCCAGCGTGTACGGCAGCGAGGGTCCAGGACCAGATGACCTCTTCCCTCCTCCCCTCTCCCTCTCGCTTCCTGATTACCTGCCGGATACTGCGAGAATGGACGACGACGCCCATTCGTATCTCTGGGGAGGCTTGAGGCCGGAACTGTGTGGACGGATTGAGGCCTACCTGCGTGAGCACAGCCTGGATGTGACGGCGAGGGAGGTTCGGCTGGCGCTGGAGAGGGAGCTGGGTGTCGATTTCTATGAGTACCGACGACCGCTGATGAACCTGATTGATGCCACAGTGCAGAGGCTCCTTGATGCCGGTACTTACGTGCCACACGTAATGCCAACAGCTCAGTCCAGTGGCGATAGGTTTGTGTTCTGTGGTCCTGTGCAGGTGCGAAAGAGCCCTCCACCGACGAGCCGACTCCTGTTGTGCTCGACCGTCACGGCGCAGATCTGACCCCTCCACCGGCGGACAGGGCAGAGCTGTCGCTTGAGGAGCTTTTCGGACTGCCGCGGGAAGGAGCGGAGAAGACGTGACACTCCGACTGCTGTGGGGACGACGTTTCTCTCTATAGACTGCGGAGTTCATCGTCACCACCGCGAACTGACAGTCAAGGGCGGCACCTGTTTTTTCGCCATCACATGACAGCCGCTACTTTTTCGCGATAGCAACACTCTGTGCCTGTCGCAGCGGCAGCACCCACTCCTCCTGTACAGATGCGGTGCATGAAGGCCCGTACGCTTCTGATCTGTCGATCTGATCTGTCGATATTTGTCGTGTTGTGGGGGACGTGTGTGGTTGCATCTTGAGGGGTCCCCTCGTGTGCTGTACGTACGTGTCTGGTGATGTCCGTCTATGCGTGTGGCCATCGTAGGTATGTAGGAGGCTCGGCACTGCTGTTGTCTGGGTTGCTGTACTATGTCAGTCAGTGTGTGAATCGACCCGGACAGATCGACGCCGACTGCCTCATGCAGGCACGTGTGTGTGGCGTGTGTGTGTCGAGACGTCCATCCTTCTGTATGATGTGAACAAACCGAGACAAGGAAAAACGGGAAGGACAATTTGCGAGACTGTATCACCCCCATGTCGATCTCTTCGGAATTCCCCGAACCCGAAAGAACGGGATCTCATCCAATGGCGACCGTTCCCCTCTCCTCCTCCAGCAAGGGGGACAAGAGAATCAGCTTCAACCTCACCCCCACTCCGAGTCAGCCAAAAAAGGAGACGCCGTCACTCAGCCGGCCCGCCTCGGCGGCTACATTGCGGAGCTATGCGCCTGCCTCTCACAGCAGATGCTCGTCGGCATCGTCGTTTTCTGGTGCGTCCACTGGGCCCCGGATGACTCAGAGGGAGAGGGTGGAGAGGAGGAGTGTGTTCAGGAGAGAGCTGGGAAAAGACAACATCCTTTGCAGGTGGGGAGACAGATGGGGAGGGTGGGAAGCGTTTGCTTGTTCCATGTTCTGTTTGGTCCTCTCTTTTCAGCGTCAAGAAGGCCCGGTGTCTGCGTTTGTTCGATGTAGCGCGCGTCGACATGCTGAGCCCCGTGGCCAGAGGTGAAGCCGTGCGTCTGATGAGCCACTCCAGAAGCACGACACGCCCGTCGACAGCTCACACAGCGTCGTCCAAGACGCTGCTGTTCGTCCGCCCTCAAGCCACCGATTCCCGGCCCTCCTCTTCCCTCTCACACATGGCCCAATCGTGCGCCTCCGGTGCCATGTCATCCGTGCCATCGAGAACGCTGCTGCTGTCTCCCTCGCAGCGCAGCGTGGCCGTCAGTGAGGGCCTAGTGCCTGGGCGGACCAGCCGGAGGCATTCGCTGCATGCCCATGTCTGGGTTCCTCAAGACGAAGCGTCCCTCGACCAGCTGGCTGCACAGCTCCATGACAACATGTCTCGAAGCGGCCGGCCATCGACCGCTCGATCGGTGGCAGAGAGCCTCCGCAGCGAAAGGGAGAGGTCGAGAAGGCGAAGGAGCCGAATGGGCATGTATGTCAAGCGAGTCGACCGTGCCGACGACTCCGCCCTTCCCGTCTGCCTCAACGAGCAGAGCTACCAGCCGACCTCCCCCCACGTCCGCACGAGGCTCGGCCTCCCGGTGGAGGTCTCATCCCGAGACAAGCAGAGGGTCTCTCTCTCCCGATGGGGGCTTGACGCTTGGCAAGATGCCATCCGACGCACATCGGCTCATTCGGAGAGGCTCACCTCCTCAATCCGTCTTGAGTCGTTGAGAAGGCGTCTCGGCCCCTGGGACGAGCAGAGACGGATAGAGAGGGCGGTGGAAGACGCGAGACACGCAGCGCGGGAGAGAGGGGCCGGGCAGAGGTCGGCGAGGGAGAGAGAGGTGGAGGACAGGTGCCGTGCTGACGCCCCCAAGCGGCGTGGATCGACGCCTGGCAAGACGGAACAGCTGATCATCAAGACGTACACACCCGGGAACACGAGACTCAGATAAGGCCACGTATAGTCTTGTCAATGTCGATGATTGTACCGTTGTTGCGTTTGTATGGCGAGGTGAGGCCCTTGCGTCTGTAGTGCGCTTCCCGCGCTGTTTCGTGTGGATGTGTTTGTGTGTATGCCATGCAGATCGACGGCTGCCACGTTTTAAGAGACTTGTTGGATCTGTCGGGCCTCGATCGCAATGGCTTCGGTATGCAGGTGTATACACCTGTCTGTGTGTGTTCGGATTCATGGCTGATTTCTGAACGTGGTGTGGATGTGTGGTTGACTAAAAGGTCGCATGCAGTTCTGTGCCGGCGTCTTTCCGACTCGTCCGTCCCGTCTTGTCACTGACTGTCTCTCGTTCTTTCTGCGATGTATGTGTGTCTGTCGGCTTGTTGCGTGCTCATGTCAACTGACACACATATATAAATATGAGAAAGCGAACCATATAGAAATGGTGTTTTCATCCCTGCCCCGGCAAACCTCTGCCTCATTGTGCGTCGACTTGAGTTTCTTGACGCCGGCCTTCTCATTCTTGCCGCCCGTCTCGACGATCTCCAGTCCATCCACCTCGAGCGACGACTCAGACACCTGACGGACACACACACACACACACATACATACAGGCAACCTGAGTGTTTGGCGCCCATCCCTGTGTTTGTGTGCGCCCACCTTCTTGTTGGCGATTTCTTGCTTGCGTTTGAGTGCATTGTGGTGGACGCTGTTGTTGTGATACATGAGCACCTTGTCGGGATTGGCGGCACGGTAGGCCTGCTTCTCTCGTTCGTTGGTGATCTTGGACAGTGCGGCCTGAGAGACACATCGGTAAGCGCTGTGCTTCCCACTAGACAGACGTCAGATTTCACTGACCTTGCGGCCGGCGGCCATGGCCCTCTCATCGCCCTCGTCGGTGTGATCGCCCTTCAACAACGCACCTGACACCAGGAATGAGTGACACATTGCTGTCCTCATGAATCAAGACGAGCGAGTGACAGCAACCTGGCCTTTTGTGAACTTACGGGCGGCTTTGAGCATGTTGTCGTAGCTTGCGACGATGCCCATCTCATCGCACTTCTCCTGACACACGGAGGGGTACTCGTCCACGAACGCCTGAACTGGAGACACACACGCGTCCAGGCAAGGCAACGCAAAGCAAAGCAATGTGCGTGTGTTTCAGTCTGTGTGTTTGTTTCTATGTCTCTTCAGCGTACCTTTCGTCTTGCCGCGCATCTTGGGTTTCTCCTCCTGCTTGTCGACTTGCTTCTCCTCTTGCTTCTTGCGTTTCTTGGCGCACGTGAGGCAGACCTTGGTCTTGAACGAAGCGGCCGGGTTGGTACAGCCGGGCGACGTGCACTGGCCGTACAAGCACATCGGGCACTTGGTGGGTTGTGTCCTGCCTCGGGGGTAAACCTTGACACGTCTCTTGCAGCCCGGTGTCACACACACTGGCGTGTCGGGATTGGGTTGTCTGACCATGACGCACAACTCGACTGACTCAACAGATAAGCACTCACGTCGACGAATCAATGATTGACCGACATGTATAGTCGGATTGTACGCGGCGTGTACACATACAAACGACTGACGGACACGATCGATACATGTACGCGGCATGTGCACGTACAAAAGACGTGACAGACAAATCGTCGTGTGGATGCATCGACCGATTCATGCACTCCCAAGACAGGACTCCCCGCCAGCAGTGCTTCCGTGACAGGACTCAGGTGGCCGAGTTGCTGATGTGACGATACACAGACGCATGCCCATCACGATCCGATCGGATAAACACTGAGCATGAGGTGCTTACCCGAAACCTCTTCAGATGTCCGGGCTGTTGCAGATACCTCCACTCTGGCGAACATCGCATGTCGTCCATAAATTTGGTGACCTGTGTGCGCTGAGAAAGGCAGGCGCTTTTTGAGGCACATGGATTGGACATCTCCGCGTTACCTCAAAAAGGTAGAGGTCTTCCCCGTCATTCGCGACGAGTGTCGGTAGCTCTTCGGCCCAGCGTGTTAGTTTCACCAGCACCTCCTCATCCGTCACATCTTGGGCCGGTCTGTCATCTGTTCCGCCATCAAATCGCATCAACCGGCGTGGCCGAACACAGGCGACGGCGAAGAGGGGTGAGGGCGTCTGCACAGGAGAGGCCTCATGATCCAAAGTTATGTTGCCGCCAGTGACACCTGAGAGGGTCGCAGCCATGTGCGGCTGAGTGGACACTGATCGGTCTGTGAGGTACCTGCCGCCCTGATGTTCTTCCTTGTGGTGTCAATCAACCCCTTCAGCATTGTCGCCATCAGGGCCGGCATCTCATCATGGTTGACAAAGAGCTTGTCCAGCACATCGGTAGGTTGGGTCGTGACGGAATCGTTGTGCGGGACGTCGGTGTGAGGCATGAGAAGCGGACTTGCAGAGCCGGTGAGATAGCCCTTGACAGCAGAGGTTTTAGGGTCCTCTCCCACAGACGAAGAGGGCCCGTACAGCGAGTGAAGAGCGGCCCAAACATCCGTGATGGCTGAGGGGATGGGGAGGCCCACTGAAGCAGAAGAGAAGAAAATGTGGAGGCCAAGGGCGGTGTGCGGCAGTCTGCTTACGGAAGTCCCCGAGAGCACTCAACGCACCAGGGCCGACACCCGTGCGCCATCCGAGCACGGTGAGGCAGGCAAGAAGAAGGAGGTCCCTGATCCGAGGCCTCATCGCTGTATTATTACTTTGACTGAGAGTGCTGTACTATTATTTTGGCAGACTCCGTCTGTTCGTCGCACTCGTCGAAGGCCATGTGGTGGGGCGGCGATTGGTGAGAGAGGGGGAGGACCGGCCACAACGATGGCCGAGGGCTCCCTCGAGTCACTGACCTTCGAAGCGGTGCCAATTCCGAGAGTCGGACGACGTGAGGCGATGAAGCGTCTGAACAACATGAATTGTACCCCTCCTGCTGCCGTTCCATCACAAGTTATCAGCCTCCCCGCCAAAGTTGAAGGCAGGCGATGGGAGTTTCCTCGATCGACGTAGACATTAGGGAAAACCGTCTTGCAAGAATATGCATGTCCGTCATGAAAGACGCGCCATCAACCATTGTCTTTCGCTCATCTATCCATCCATCCATCCAAGCACCCTTAGATGTGCTGCTCTTCCTTCGGAAGGCTACCATACGAGCAAACACATTCACAGTCACCCAGTAACTCACACACAGGCGACCACCCAGCCGGCGACGAAAGCAATAGACAGAAGGGCAGAAAAATATCACCGTGGACATCACCATTTACCGTCAGGCAGGCTACACCTCTTGTGCCTCGACTACGCACACACACACACACACACACACAGAGACAGACAGACAGACAGACAGACAAAGGGAGAGAGGGATGAGTGCACCGACATCTATGTGGCGCAGTGAGGCACGTACCCTTCTCTTTTGGCGCCTCTGCCTCCTTAGTGGTTGGTGCCTTGACGAGATTGTCTTGTAAGTGTGAGATGATGTCCCCCGAGCCATACATGACGCTGTCGGGACTCGTCTGAAGGGCGGGCACCTGATATCGCACAGAGGCAGATGCGCATAGCCATCCTTGGATCCATCCACTCCACCCATCAGATCAGCTACCTGCCCAAACCCACCTCACCTGTGTTGACCCGCCCAGTGCCATCAGTTGATTGCGATAAGGCTTGTCCGACTCCTGAACAATTTACCCAACACAGACAAGAGCTGGTGCATAGTATACTGACTGGGTCACAGCCACACGTCGCAGCTGACCGACCATAATGTTTTTGAGGGCGACGGTTGACTGGTCGATGCTGTTGGCCTCCATGAACTCCATGACTTTCCTCGAGAAGGGGTCCTCAGGGAAGTAGAACAACGTGTACGGTGCCTCCGTGTCGGCTACTATCGCCTTGCCCTGATCATCCATGCAGCACATGCAGCACAGCAGCAGGATCCACATCGCAGGAGATAGACAGATGGCATGACTTCTGCTTCTTTCGCCCTTGGCTCACGTCGACTTCTACGATGGGCTTAGTCGCCTTGATCTCTGTGAGCAGACAGGCAAACAAACCAACACAAGACTTCACACCCGTGCTGCTGACAGCATCCTCTCGGCTCGCCCCGCCAGCATACGCACCCTGTTCGGTGACGTCGGCGAGTGGGTCGACTGGCGGTGCCTTCCTCTCCCCTGTGGTGAGCTTGATGCCCACCAGCCTATTGGGGCCGTCCACCTTGACGGTCTGCGCCCACACACCCGGACCGAAGTACCGGTCAAACCTGCAGACGGGACGGATGGGCATCCACACCACACCCATCCTTACTTACGAGCGTGTGCTTCTGTGTCCGTCCTCCTGCCTGCCCTGCAAGGCTCACTTGAGGACTCTGTTGACGTCGCACCACATCCTGAAAGGCGTGGTTTCGCTCTTCCACACCATCATGAACTCCAGCTCACCGTCGGGCGACACACCCTGGCACACACATCACAGGCACACACACAGGAAGAGCGACTGACTCATGGCCTGCCTGTCCTTCCGCGACTGCATGAGCGGGCCTGCCTACCTGCCTACCTGCTGAATGTATTGCAGTTGTGGCGGCTCCTTCTCAGGGTTTGGCCACAGACCCAAAGACTCCACTGTCGTGTCCAAATGCGCATCGTCACCATACCTATCAACCACGGCGCACACAACCAGTCAGCGCCAGCCACCCTGGCCGCCTTAACAAGCCACGCATCTCACCTGTGCCGCGTCACGTCCTCCTTGATCTTCTTGATGGTCTCAGTGGCCTTCGCATCAAACATCCGATCAGCTGCAGCCATACCAAGACAATAAGTATCCCAGGCACATCGCAGACGACGAGATCTACCGGTCCCTCCTCCCTCTCTGACTAACTCGACTGACCTTCTGACGTCGTCCTCACGGGGCAGGGCTCCAGCTCCGCATACTGCAGTGCCACCCCAATCAGCAATATCGGAACACCGTAAATGAACCCAAGGCTGCCCAGCCCACTGCCGCCCTTCTGCCCGAAGAACTCCCAAAACGACGCCAAAGTGATCACAGAACCGGCCAGCAAAGTCGCCTTCGCGAGGGAGAAGCCCCTGATCTGAATTGGCGGCTCGCCTTTGGTGCTGAAGCCGCCCGATATCATGTCCTCGCCCATCATGCGCACTGTGTGCGGCGGCGGCCGCCTTGCTCGTGATAGGGAAAGGGCTGATCTGCGCGAAGCATCGCGTGAAAGATGGGAGGCTGGTCTTGAATGCGGCAGCTGGAATGCATCCCCGGAGGCTGCCAGCATCAAGATAAGCGCCACGCTCTTCATTTTGCAGACGAGATCCCAACAGTACCAATCTTGAGCTCGCACCGGGGGGACAGCTCAGCTCGCAGGCAGCAACCAAGGAGCAGCAGCGAGTGGGAACGCGCACGGCAGGATATCTGTCGGAGATCTGGCGCCTGCTGTTTTCGGCCGCCAATTGGTTACAGCCCGTGTGCGCCAGTGACTTTCCGCAATGAGTGCGGGAGATGGCTCAAAGGTTCGATGGGCCGTCATAGGAACGGGTACAAAGACGAAACGCCACCTGATCTGCACCCTCGTTGCTCTTTCCGAACGTTCTTGTCATGTCATTGCAGGCAACATCTGTTCTGATTTCTGTGCGGCCCTCAAGCTTGTGGACAATGCCGAGACCGTTGCCGTGGCCGCACGAGAGCTGCCCAAGGCCCAGGCATTCGCCAAACGCTTCGGCATCGGGAAGGCATACGGCAGCTATGATGAGCTGGCGCGGGACAGGTCGCTCGCTGTGGACGTGTGCTATGTGGGGCTGATCAACACCAAGCACAAGGACGTGGTGTGTGAGCTGCTGCGCAACGGTCGCAATGTCGTCTGCGAGAAGCCGCTTGGCATGACAGTCGAGGAGGTGAAAGAGATGGTGAAGGTCGCGCGGGACAACAAGAGCTTCCTGACTGAAGGTGGGTCCGAGCACATCGCTCCGCAGCAGCGTGATTGACATTCCGCGCGTGCGCTGCGGTTTCTTTCAGGTTTCTGGACACGTCACTTTCCTGCATTTAAGAAGATCGACGAGATCGTTTCGGAGGGTACCATCGGCCGCGTGTCGGCCATCCACTGCGACTTCGGCTTCCTCGCCGCGCAAGACAGCCGCACGCGCCTCAAGGAGCTGGGAGGAGGGGCAATCTACGACATTGGTCCGTCTATCTAACGCACACAGACAGCCACAGGGGACTGTGAGTGAGATCTCTCTACCACCATGCATATGTGTGCATCAGGCTGCTACACGGTGCAGTATGCGACGCATCTCCTGGGCACTCCAGCCAAAAGCTGGCGGCCGCTCTCCATCGCTGCCGCGGGCGTGATGGACCCAGTAGAGCAGGTGGACCTCAATGGGGGCATCTCCATGACTTTCGATGACAAGAGCGACCCATCGGCCAGGCTGAGGACTCTCGCTGTGCTGCACTTCGGCACCGACGGCCGCCGCTCGCAGACGGCGCGTATCCTTGGCGACAAGGGACATGTCGAGGTGCACCGCATCATGCACTGCCCCACCCACGTCACGTGTGTTCTCTACACCGACGGCGGCTCCGTGCGTGACGATCATACATTTGAGCTGCCCGCGTGGCGACCGGGTGAGGGGGGCATACCTGAGGACTTTCGTTTCTTCTTCGCGAATTCAGAGGGGCTGGCTTATGAGGCCGAGAGGGTGGGCCAGTGTGTCAAGGAGGGGCTGCTGGAGATGCCTGAGTGTCCGCTGGATGAGTCGATCGCCATTGCCCAGATCATGCAGACGGCCCGCGAGCAGATGGGTGGGCAACAAATGGGCGAGTGACGTGTGTATTGTCGGTTTTTCGTATTTCTGCGCGTTGGGTGCTTTTGGCACGGACTTTGTGTCTGTGGGGCTTTGTGCGTGTCGTGGGCGAGCGCGTGGAGACAACACATCTGTGTATGCATTCACGCCATTAATTGGAGTGTGCGTCGTGCTCATGTGTGTGTGAGTGACCTACAAACATATGCATGCCTACAACTCACTCGTCGACACGAACCAACACCTGTACTCGCACCGCATGCACGGGAAGGAAAACACCCCCAAACACAGCCACACGTATGCAATTACATTCAAACCTCAAAAAACAGCACACAAAGGACACAGAGAGATTACACCCTTACAGTCACACAGAGAGCATACTCACTCTACAAATCCGTTACAGGCTGCCGGTGGGCGGGGCTCAGCGCGCCGTCATCACCTTCGACGTTGTTGCGTGTCTCACCATGGCCGTCGTCGATCGGCCCGATTTCGATGTGTTGCTGCTGCTCAGCCTCTTGTGGGGTCGGCTGCGCGATGGTCGGCTGGGGGTTGGCGCCGAAGGGGTGCTGCACGCCGGTGTCGTCATTCCCCACGCTGCCCTCATCGCTCTCATAACTCTCCATGGAACCAAATCCAGGACTGCACTCATGCATGAGAGAAACGCAACACCAGCACATCACACAAATCAGTGCTGCATGTGATTTGACTGCTGTGGCGTGTTCGTAGGTGCCTACCTCGTCTGGTGCTGCGGTGGCGGCGGCTTGCGGACGGGTGATTGATCTGGCGAGTGCATTGTGGGGCTTATAGACTGGACGACTGACGGCCGTCTCACCCTGCCGCCCCTGTCGGCCCCGTCACCGCCGCCCTTGCCTTTGCGGTCGACAGATTCGGAGCTACTCATGACGCTTAGAGGACCGAGGCCCGTCCTCTGGCTCACCATGTGCGCTCGCGTTAGCCGACTGCGGCAGGAGGCATCCATCATATACAAATGCAGACGGCCTTTTCCTTTGCTCACCCTGATCTCTTCATGCTGATGTCGTACTCGCCTTCGTAGAGCGAGTCCGGCACGAGCCCGCCGGCTACACACACACACACACACACACGGAGGCGGGAGCAGGTAGGCGCATGTAGCTGTCTCTCTGATGGTTGAGCACAAACCGTCTTTTTCGAGGACTTTGTGCAGGCCTCTCAGGTAGAGAGGCTTGTCGATGGCCTCCAGCTGCATCGAGACACGCACCACAACAATCGACAAGCGTGCATGAGTGCGAGCCTATCTGGCCAGCCTGTAACTCTCACTTTGAGCATATCGACTGTCTGTCTCAGTTTTCGCCGATCGAGGGCCGTCACCGTATCCAGGTCCCCCTCCTGCATGCACAAACAACGACACGCACACACGTGTGTATCTAAGCAGCACATGTTGTGTTGTGTGAGGATGGCCGTCTGCCTGGTCACCAGCAGGTTGGCAGGCGTGTTGTACAGGCAATACCCCACCTGATTACAGACAGACAGAGCTGGCATCCGGCAGTCGCACTTCTCCAATTCCAGCCTGCTCACGATCTTGGAGTCGATCGCCAGCTTCTTGAGCTTCATTTCTTCGATCTTTTTCAGGCGAGCACTCGACGAGAAGACGATGGGCAGTATGATGCTGGCCAGGACGAGTGTGAAGCTGATGACGACAGTGCCCATAAGTGTGCCCGCGAAGACGTCCTCGTTCTTGTCTGTGCGAGGGATGAAGAACGAGCCGCTCACACACATGACGCATAAGGCCAGCAGCAAGGACACATCAAGGACTACAAACACAACACAGACCATCGAGTGAGAGCAGCCGTTGTCTGTCTGTGATTGGGATTGTGTTGTGTACAGTTGTTCTCATTTGAAAGCCAGGGCCAGTAGAAGATCTGCAGGCAATGACTGACGGTGGCCATCGATGGTCGTGCCTTTCATGTGTGCCCCCCGCTCACCTGGAGAGTAAGGGACACCATGATGATGAAAATCTGCATGAACAACGTGCAGGTCAGCAGACGTGACAAGGTGACATTTGCCATGGTGTCACCGTTATTAGAGTCTGGAGACTGACCACACACACACACACACACACAAATCGCATCAGCCAGGTGTGCAACATTATCCGATCGACCATCGTCACGCAAATGTCCCTTACTGGCCGTCATTCGGCGACATGGCTGCACACGCAGAAATGCAAAGACCCAGACCATGTGAGCTCATTGGTGGGATAGTCGCGCAAATCTGCGTACCCGTGACAGTCGCCAGCAGCCCGTTGCGAGCCAGCAAGATCACTCCCCACCTGATTGCGGGCCACACCGACAGACAGGACATCGCAAAGGGGATTCTTGTACGAGACACGAGGGCTGCTTACCAGTAGACATCAGGCCGAAATCTGCACGCAAACAAGCGAACACAGACACAGACAGCAACACTAGGTAGGTTGCGGTCCTTTCCTCCCTCTCTGTGACTGACTGACTGACTCACTCACCGGAAGAATAGGAATTGGAATCGTTCCTTGAATGAAACGTACTCGTAATACCAGGGAGCCACAATACTGATGTAGGAGAAGAAGGCATACACGCCACCCTGCACAGACAGACGGACACCCCGACATGGGCATAGATGGATGGATCGCCATCCGTCTGTCTGCCTGTCTGGCTCTCTGTCTGCCTGTCTGTGTTGGCTGTCTATGGAGTGCATTGGTACCACGTAGATGATCATCACGAGCACGCCGATTGGGAGGAACTGAGAGCGCCACTCCTGGCTGTCGCAGAGGATCTCAGGATACTCGAGCAACGTGCTCTTGCCGTTCGGATGGTCAAAACACTGCACACACGCATCCATCCATCCATCCAACTCTCTGTGTGTGTACCTGGAATGCGGCACATGCATTGTTGACAAACGAGATGTAGAGGATTTGAATAGCCATACCCAGACTGCACTCACACCACTCACACACATGACAAGAAGACAGCCAGCTTTCTCCCCTACTCCCTCCCTCGTGACACCTGTTGCAATATTTGTCAAAGTTAAAGATGTCGGCCGCGACGAGCGTCTCCACCCACCTCACAAACGGGTTCCTTGACCCCGCAAACGCCGCCGTTATCATGATCTTGTCTTCCTTCTCTTTCTCCTCCTCAGCGACATCCTTCAACATGTGATGAGTGCGCTCCCTCATGCTGGGTGACAGCACATCCATGTTGGACACACGGCGCCGGGCCTCCTGCTGGTCCGCCGGCTCCTCTGCGAGCTCGCCGCCGGTGGGGAAGGCCTCATCTGGCAGCTCGTCGTCGTCGTTGTTGTTGTTGTTATTGTTGTTGGCGTCCTCTGTGGTGCTGCTCACCTTGTGCTGGGGCTTGGCGTCGCTATCGGGCGCTCTGTGGATACGCCGAGAGACGTCCTGGATGCATAAGGGATGAACGCAGGGGGCGTGAGTGTGTGCTTCTCGCTTGTCTGCCTACCTTCCCGTGAGCCACTCGAAACATGACCCTTGTGAGCGACGATCTACGGCTGCGCTCCCTCGGGATCTCATAATCTGCTCCTGTGCACACACAGGGCATGAGACATGCATGAGCTGAGGTGAATGCACGTGTGGGTGCGGTTACGGCCTGCCTGGGAAGAGTCTCATCTGCTTGAGGCACCAGAAGAGACCCCACAGCGAGTAGAATATGATGGCCAGGACGATCGGCACCAGCTGCCTCGTGACATAGCTCGCGAGAGGCGTCCGGCCAACCACGCAGCCTTCACCACACACATACGCACATGGACCAGGGCACGAATGGATGGTCGGTCCCCCATACACACACCGATTCGGACGAAGTGGATGTCGAACAGGAAAATCGAGGACACTTTGAAGAGCCCTTTCATATACGACGGGAATTTGATGTTGAACGTCCCTGGCATAGGACAGGGAAGGCAGGAAGCCTCAGACAAACAATCAGTGAGTGATTGGTTTGGTGCATGGCCGCACCGACGATGCTGCACCAAAGAATCACCAGCACAACACGACCTGGTGCCCGTTGTGTGAAGGCAACAGCGTTGTGCGTACGTGAGGTTTTGCATGAAGTTGATGAGCATTCCGAGTGTGAGTGAGATGTTGAGGGTGACGGCGATCTTCCTGCTCTGCGGAGCGTTGACGAACACGTGGAAGAGCAGGCCAAGGAGGAAGAGGATTATGATGGTGAAGACGAAGGGCACGACGCTCTGCGCGTCCGAGCCACAGTCGATGCATTTGCCGCCGCTCTTGTAGTAGCCCTCCTTGCACACTCTGAAAGGAACCCATGAATGCATCCACACACCCTTCACACTTAGACACCCAGGCAGTGTATGTGTGTGCGACTGCAGTTTACGAGCATGCTCTCCCTTCCCGGCCCTCTCCGCACATCGGCAGCGTGTCCACCAGGTCCGGGTCAGGACTCCCACGTGCACGCACACCGGATCTGTACATGTGTGCCTATGTTTGGATACGTGCCTATGGACCAGGGCACGCATCGACCTCCAGGCAACGATAGACCTCAATGTCGCTAAAATCCGATTTGTCCTCAACAATTTCGGCCCAATAGTTCTGTTGGAGCAACGGCAGCTGGTACATGCCGCCAGTGCCGACACAGTCAAGGCCCGTGTACCGGCTGGAGTCACAGCCTGTGCAGAGGGAAGAGAGACATGACTATGGTCCCCAAGGTGGGTAGAGACAGCGGTGTCTCACTTATGCATCGGTCGTTCTTGATGTCGAGGAACATGCCCTCGACGCACGTGCGTTCGTCAATGCTTCTTGAGCCGATCCGTGCAGTGGTCTTTGTCGCCAGACAGGACTGAAATGCATCCATTCATCCATCCATGCCGCCATGCCGCCATAGTGTGTCACACACATCATGATGTGTGCGTCAATGCGTGTCTAGACCCACCAGGCATCGTGTGCTGTTCAAGTCTGGCTGATACGTGCCAGGTGGGCAGAGTATGCACTCCTTCGCACCGGTCGTGTTGCTGAAGCTGCCGACAGGGCAGATGTTGCACTCTGCACTCATGCGACAACACCTGTATGTCTCTCTCTATCTTTCTCTCCCTCTGTGCGTGTGTGTGTGTGTGTGTGTGCGTATGTGCCCGGTGTGTACGAATGCGTCACCGCTCTGAGCAACGAGATCCTGATAGCTGCCGGGCCTACACAAGCACATATGGCCCAGTCAAGAGACCGGTCTCTGTGTCCCTCCGTCACTCACTCGCAGAGTGTGCAATCGACAGCATGCGGCTTTGAGAACTGTCCTGTCTACAGAACACAATCAGCGATCCACCTGGAGTCAGTCGACACCTGGGCGACTCATCGTTTGACTGACCGGGCAGATGTCGCATTCGCTTTGGCCTGTCTTGTTCTGGTAGAAGCCGTCTTGGCACGGCTCGCACTCCCACTGGTCAACTTGGTCGTTAGCCTCCCCCACAGGGCACGGCACACACCTACCCTGCACACACACATACACAATAAGAGTCTCTATGAGCCTGGATTATGCACAGATGCTTGCTTACAGTTGTGTTGACGTAGTGTCCCTCTGGGCAGACGGGCGGGGTAGAATTGAAGAGTGTGCCTGAACTGTTGAAGCCCCAGTAGAAGGTGCCGTCTGGCCATTGGATTGGTCCCAGATAGTTGGGCGGAGGCCAAATGTAACTCCCGGTGGCGAACGAACCAATCAAGAAAGGAAAGGCGTCGAAATCGGACGCCTGCTGGTCGGCTCCAAATGTTTGAAACACAATGACATCTGACGCCCGATCGCCGTTGCTCAGGTAGCTGACCGCCTGGCTGAACCCGACATAGTTCTGCAAAAAACATTTTGTCCCAGGGACCAATAGATGGATATCCATTTCTCCCCGCCCTCACGAGGTTCAGATTCTCCTGCCAGAACCAATCGAGAGTGGTTCGGTTGGGATTTTCCTGCAAGAATGGATTAAGAGCACACAGATGGCGTGCATAGCGGGTGGCTGTGCATACGGACCAGGTCAGCGAGTGTGTTGCCGCTGTCGAACCACTCATGCAGCAACACGGCCCATTCCCACACCGTGTCGTAGACATAGTTGGCCCTGAATGGGTCACAAGGCACCGGGGGACTAGACGCAAAACACGAGCCCATGAATTCGTTGAAGGTCTGCAGCCACGATCACATATCCTCCGCAACTTTGTGTTGCTTCTTCATTTGTCTGTTCGACCTCTGATTTGCTCACCGTCCTGGAGTCCTTGCCACTGAATGTATGGCTTATGCTCCCGGCAAAGAGGTGTGGCCACACGGGTGCGTAGAAGTGCATCTCCCCCCACACGATCGGCTCAAGGTCCTCCTTCGTGCAGGGAGACGCATTGAAGTCATCGCCTCGGTCGAGCAGGCCAATCAGCACCGGCGGCTGCTGCACACTGTCGGGGTCCTTGTTCTTGTGCGTGATGCCAGCACGGGCGAAGGCGCAGGTCATGCCAGTGGCGATCGGCGCCTTGGTGTTATACACGATGACCCGGGGGCGGTGCTGGAGGAGCTCGGCCAGTGTGCGGTCGTAGGCCTCCCCTGGCGTCTCGAAGACCCATGTTCTTGCATTGGGCTCCGCAACGCCGACTCGTTGCAGCTCGGCCTGCATGGCCTCGACCAACGGGTCATCATAGGTCTGGGGAGGGAGAGGGAAGCAACAGGCAGACGGAGAGGTGGAGAGGGTGCATAGTTGTCTCATTGTCTGGCCAAACCTCTGTGACAAGATAAAAGCGGTTCCATTTGAAAGCTTTTGCCAGCTCTCCCATCACCGATACCCACTGCACAGCGCACTCTCGGTGAGACATCACAGGAGGCATGAGCGATTCCCCACTCAGTCACTTGTGTAGATGGCCCGAGAGTTGAAACGATGAAACGGTAATCAGCCCCAGGCGGCCGCTGGCAATAGTACGACTGCACCGCATGAACCAACAGATTTGACCAGACAACATGACGGGGGAAGAACAGGTAGTGCTTTCTTTTGACACCTTGGCCAGACGATTGAAGCCCTCAGCAATGGCGCTGAGCGTCTCGCATCCAATACTGCAGACAGACAGGGAGACGCACATACCGACAAGCGCAGACGTTTATCTATTCATGGAGGTATGCATCTGTGCACCTATCACACTTACAGGCAGCTGTCACCGAAAATTCCCACAATATCCTGGCTGCCATGGACACCGGGACAGCCATAAAAGTGCATGATTGCTTGCCTATCTGTGTGCCTTACACACTTGTTCTGTAAAGCCATGAGTGTGCTTCGCGTGATGTTGTCTGCAGGCCATGCAGACAGGCAGATAGACAGGCACATAGACTCAGGCGACAGATGGACGGGGCGTGTTTGTGCGTGCATACCTGTAGTGCATTCCTGTGGCTCGATGATCTGCATCTGCAAGGTGTGGCCTGGCAGATATCTGGGATCGGCGTTGACTTCATCGAGAGCTGCAGGAAAAAACAAACAGACACCACATGCAACAAACAACAGGACTCACCTCCGCGACTCGTGCTGACCTTTTGATATGATTGGCTCATGACGCCTGCGCAAACAAGAGACGAAGTGAACAGCAGTCAAGTCCTCGACCTAGGGTCCTCGACCATTTGTGATCTGTTCGTCCATGTATTGCTCACAGATATGGCGGTGGTGCGCCAGGGTCAGAGTGAGAGAAGATGCCTAAGAGCGTGAGGTTCGTCTGCGCATGCACGCATGGCGGCCATGACAAGGCCGCAAAGAAACAAAACCAGGGAATCCGCATGCTGGATTCGGTCTCCCAGGACATGCATGTGTGTCTGGAAGGTGGTGGGGGCGGGGCGGGGGCTGCGAGCTATTTTGCAGGGCTGCGTCAGCCGCCTGGGTGCTCTCTGAAACTGCTGCTGCAGCAGTACACAAATGACGTCGGCCAATGCCAAGCGCCCCAGCATCTCCAGTCTTTTTGGTTGGCACTGGACCTTCATCGAGGCCCGGGGACCCTGCAGCAACTTCAAGGCCTTGCTGCCGCATTTCCAGGATCAGTAAGATTCCTACGTGCACGAGTAGTTTGATGTCTGTCTGCCTGTCTGTCCAGTGAGAAGGAGCGGTTGTATTGCGAGGCCCGAGGGAAGCGGGTGGCCCAGACCATCTTGAGTCTGTATGTTCCCTTCGGATGCCTGGCAGTTATCCTTTATGTATTTGGATCCAAAAATGGTACATATATGCGTTTGGACGATGCTTGTTGTGTGTCAGGTTGCAGGGAGCGGCGCGTCGGGGGAAGCAATGGTCGCTGTTGCTGGAGCTATTCATTTCGCGCTCGTCATGTCCTTCCTGCTCTTTTGGAATCGGCGCAAGTGGCTCGTTCAGTACGCGGCTTTCTGCATGACAACCCTATCGCTGTTCCTCGCCCCTTCAGTGCAAAACAATTTTCCCGCTCCCCTTGTGAGCGGAACCAACCATACAAATGTGTTTGATATCTTATTACATTTGTAGGCTTCCGATGCCAAGGAGCCCGACTTCTTCATCTCGTTCGTAAGCATTTGCTTCAGAAGCCGCAAAGGGAGAAATGTATGGCTTCCGATGCTGTGTAGAACCACACGCTCTTCTTCACACATTTGTTTGCATCCTGGCTGGCGATCCGGGAGGCCACCTTCTGCGCTCTATCCTTCTCCGTCGTGTCCATCGTCGGCCGAGCCATCATAGACGTATCGATGGGCGAGGTCACGGTGCTTCGGGACCTGGTCCAAGTCGCCTGCTGGATCATCATCGCTGTGTGTCTCCTCGCCTCGACCATGGATGCGGCGTACCAGAGGCGAGCGGCCTTCCACAGAGGAGGAGAATTGGACAAGTACGTGGCCGACTTGGAAAGTGAGAGGGCGTGTGTGCTCGAGACCAACGAGGCGATAAAGAATGAATCCGAAGAAGTGAAGAAACTGATTAAGCGGCAGACAGCCGTCTTCCGCCGCATTGCGCATGACATCCGGACGCCAATGAACAGCGTGATTAATTGCGCTTCGCTTGTGCGCGACGACTTCGTGAGCCTGTTTTCCAAGGACAAGGAGCGCTTCCAGAGGGAGAGGAAGGAGATAGAAGAGTACCTGGATGTCCTACTCACATCGGCACAAACAACCTTGGCCCTTGCAAATAACCTCCTACAGGTCAGTGAGGCACGAGGGAGACCTGACACAATCCATGTGTTGGTTGATATGCAGATTAGCAGCCACCGAGAGGGCCATGAGCTGCACCTCCAGCGCACGCCACTTCGGGATGTTATGGACAATGTCGTCAAGTCATCAATGCCAGCAATACGAAGGAAACACCTAGACATCAAGGTAGCGACGTGCAAGCAACCCTCGCGCCTCACCTCACCTGTGCGCCTGCATCTTCCTCATGTCTCGGTAGGTGGAGGGCAGAGAATCGCTGCCAACGTTGGCATACGTCGACGGCCCTCGGTTGGGATTCGCCCTCTACAACGTGCTGCACAACGCTGTCAAATTCACAAGCGATGGTGGATCGATCACGGTGTACTTTGCCGCCACACAACTGCAAGGCCCCCCGCCCCAGCGGAGGCTCGAGCGGAGGCAATGGTCTCTTCTGTCCGCCCCCATCACGGAGTCCATCTACAGCGGCATCCAGCTCAGGGACAACGTCAAGAAGCTGACCGGGTCGACCATCAAGAGACTTCCTTCCGGAGAGTCTGTTGCGTCGGATAAGGTGGACCTCAGTGACCACTCGGCGCCGCATGTCTCCATTCCCATATCGTCCAGTGCGGTCAAGCTCAAGGTAATTGAAGAGGAACCGATCAAAGAGAAGTCGACGGATGCGGGAGGGAGGGCAGTGAAATATAGGACGGATGAGGAGGCGCCATCGCTGTCTGCTCCCTCTCGGGAGGAATCACCGGATGACTACTGGCAGGTGGAGAGTCAAGGACACGGGGAGAGGTGAGTGCAGCAACCAGGAAAGGAAGAAAACAGGATGCGGTGCCATCGTGTGCTGGCTTTTGAAGGCATACCGTCCGAGAGAGTGAGCACGGTTTTTGATGAGTTTAGCCACGCCACTGCCGCGGACAGTCTCCTCGGCGCTGGTATCTGACACACACAACAGTGGGAGACTCATGTCATTCAATCTTCTGACACCCGTACTTCCTCTCCCCCTGGGTGCTGTGTCTCTTCGCAGGTGTCGGGCTCTTTGTCACGCGAGGCGTCATGCTTGATATGGGCGGCGATGCAAGAGCAGAGTCGGAGGGGATAGGCAAAGGCACCACCTTCATCCTCACCTTCCCCTGCCGCGCCCGCTTCACCTCCGACAGCACCAACCTCCCGATGCAACAAACCCCAGTCTCAGAACCCCCTACCCCCCAGATCGGGCAAAGAAATCCACGCGAAGAGCAGCCTTCGCCGGCAGCAGCCTCTCCAGTCGAGGACAAGGTTGCAGACGAGTATGAAGCTCCGAGAAAAGACGACACGAAGAGAGAAAAAGACAGGGAAAAGGAGAAGGGCGGAAGCGACCTAGGAAGGGTTTTGCGAGAGTGTCTGCGAGAGGGGAGTGAAGACGACGAGGGGCCCATGTCGATGAACTCGGCCCTGAGGGCTGCGCTGGCCGACGATTTCGCTTCGAGATTGAGAATACTGGCTTGTGATGACGAGGGCATGAATCGATTCGTATTGCAGAAGAATGCACAGAGACTGGTCAGTCAGGTCTGCCAGAAAAGGACGGACGATTCGGAAGAGGCATGTGTGCGCACATGTGCGTGTGTGTGCAGGTGAAGGATGAGAAGCGGATTCTGACAGCGAGTGACGGTGTGGAGGCCATCCAGTGTGTCTTCTCGCTCATCGACGAATACGCCAAAACGAGAAAGGCACAAGCGACCTCTGGTGATGATGACGATTCCCTCGACTCACCTCCCATCCCTGTTCTAGTGGTAAGTTGCTGCACGCACAACACAGAGACATGCAAAGACTTTGTGCAAACGTCACATATGTGTGTGTAGGTGATGGACCTCGAAATGCCCAATCTTGACGGTATCGAGGCCACCAGGGCGCTGCGGATGATCGAGAATGGCGTTCCCTCAGAGCTGGCGCCATTCACAGCAGAGACAGTGACTACACTGCTCAGTAAGGCAACAGACAGATGTAGAGACATCTTCTAGACGAGCATCCAACGCCCTTTCTATGCACTCAGGTCAGGGATTGGCTGACAGCGATCGGCCGGCAACTCCGCCGGTCATTCTATTTGTGGTCCAATCGTCAGCCCAGGACACGTCGGCCATCAAGCCGGCCGACTTAGCACTCTTCGATACGGTGGGGCGTATAGATGGCTGGTCCTGCCGGCTCGAGTTCACGAGAATGAAGAAATACGTTTGTGTGTGTCCTCAGGTGTGTCCCAAGCCTTTCACGCTGAAGCAGACCCAGCAGTGTGTGGTGGACCTGTGCAGGAAGGCCATTCGGAAGACGATGGAGACACCAAAGGCGGGAGGTTTCTTTTTTCCGAACATAATGATGGACGGCAACAATGGGGATGACAAGAGCGACTCGGGGTGACTGATTTGATTGACTGGCCGGCAGGTCAAGGATGAGAGCTGAAGCGCTATCTATGCGATGGTCAGCTGGGTCTATACGTAGGGTGGTGTGGTGTGGTGTGTGCATATTTGTCGTTCGATGCACGGCCATGGAGAGACGCGTGACGTGCCCCCGCTGGACTCACTGCTGGCTGGCTGTATCCATGAGGTGTGTTGAGAGATCCGACGCTGTGCACGAATGCGTCTGTCTGCGGGTATGAAAGCCCCTCACATTTCGAAGGACGGAGAAACTCGACACACGCACACACAGCACAGACGTCCAGGCTCCGCACAGCCATGCCTCTATGTATGTATTTGTGGCTACCTAGACGCCTCCAAATCGTCCATGACTCATTGCCTCAGTCAGTCATGTCTTATTTAGCGGTCTTGGGCCTCCTCTTCTGGCTGTAGGAGCCGCCCTTCAATGTCCGCTCCACCAACGCCCTCAACTGTAACGCATCCATCCACCATACCCCGACACACACAGAGGGACGTCTCCTATATCAAACTTCATTCGTTGTCATCTCACCTCTGCCACTTCCCTCTCCAGCATCTTCCGCTTGAACCGCTCTCTCTCGATTTCCTTGCCCGCCCTGACCAATGCGCGACTGAACCGCCCCTCACAGGAGGAGTTGCCGAATGCTCCAGAGACGTTGGAGCCCTCACCCGACATCAGCGTGCGGCTGGCCCCTGCTGCCTCTTCATCCTCTTCGTCGAACTGATGCTGATGCTCAACAAATGCTGGCATCTGGGGCTTGACATATGCAGAGTGACAGAGGACATCCCTGTGCACACACACACACACAGGGGGAGAGGTGCAGGTAAAGGGGGAATCGTGGCATCTCTTCCCCCTTCTCACTTACCTGATGTCTGTGCGTCCTACTGGTCGCGAAGCATAGCGGGCGGTCACGGGCCTTCTCTGCGCCGGCTGCTGTAGCAGGGCCAGGGCATTCGCCTCCTCCTGCATGCACACACTCACAGGACATTCCAGTGCCGGCGCGGGCCCCTTTGCAGTTAGCTGACATTCACCTGTCTGATTCGTCGTCGCCATTGCTCAACTATCTGCGTCTCATCGTAGTCTGTCCTACGCGCAAGCATCGCTTATTGTTCTGCTCCGGATCCGAGCTAAGCTCGCAGGGGGGACGTTCCGTGAAACCGCTCTCTGGGGAACCGGTGGGAGGAATGGCTGACGAAGGGGATGTAGAAATGGAGAGTGAGGAGATAGGGGAGACGGCCGATGAGTGCGATGCGGACGCCATCGACGACGCTGATCAGCCCTCGGAGGCAGAAGGTCAGGCTCTCCGCATCCACCTGTCAGCCGGCACTGATCTTCGGTCCCTCAACCAGAGGAGGCTGGAAGCATGGCTCAGGGTACACACGCGCACTTTTGGAAATCCACTCATGACTCAATCCGTTTGCATGTGTGTGTTCGTTCGTGTGTATGTGTGTCGTTTTGCCATCAGAAGCTGACGAGTGTGGAGTGGGCTCAGATGAGCAAGAGGCCCAGCAAGGGCTATGCTTTCGTGTAGGCACCAACACCAGCAACAAACAGACAAACATGCTTTATTTACCATCATCCCTTGAATCTCTTGTGTTCAGTGAGTTCCACACTCAGGCCGACCTGGATCAGTTCAAGCGGGACGTCGACGGCCAGACGTGCAAGAGCAGCACTGTGCACGTCGCCGCGGCCACATCTCGCAGCCAGGGGGTCACCGCCAGCCGCATCAGACGACAAGAGCAGGAGAGGGGCGATAAGAGAAGAAGGGGTCAGCCGATCGATGGATGATGTGTGTGGTGGGGGGCATGAACAAATGATGTGCCGGTGTGCCGATCGTTTGTGTAGATGATGACGAGGGCGAGCGGCCGTCGGCTGCTGAGGACGCTGAGGACGTCGAGCGACCGGCCAAGAACCTTCGATCGCGCTTTCAGGCAAGAAACAGATAGAAGCACCACCTCCGCGCCAGCACAGATCATGCGAAGCGGCTCTTTCCTTTCTGTGCTGCGTACAGATCACTCTCCCCCTCCTCATCGACCTGCTCAAGAAGTGGGCAGGGCAGACACATGAGAGAGATGGCAGGAGGCAGGCGAAGTGTCGTTGTGGGATGGTTGGTGTGTGCCAATTGCCGATTGCGTGGCGTTGTTCTCTCAGGGCCCGCAATGAGAGGAACGGCGCGACGCTGAACGAGAAGGTGAGCCCGCTGTTCAAGTGGTCCTACCCCGACCAGGTCACTATGAAAGCCCAGTACGTCAAGGTCCGTCCGTGAGCAGCAAGCACAGCACACCGCAGACAGACCAGCAGGCTATCCACAGCTGTCGTGTGTGCGGTGCCTGTCTGTCTGTCTGTCTGTCTGTCTGTGCGTGTGTGTGTGCAGACGTGTGTGCGTCAGTTCACCCGCGGCACGTTTCGCCACTGTGAGAATGTGGGCGTGGCGGCTCCCCAGTGGTGCGTGCCCGACAACGCCCCCGCGTGGATCGGATGCCCTGTGAGTCAGAGAGGAGGAATACAAGAGAGATACACACATGTGTTAATGTCCCTGTTTCGTGTCTGTGGTCAGCTTGCCGAACCGATTGGGTGCCCGCCTGAGGGCCGCCGAGGTGCGAGGGAATAGATGGAGGCATGATGCGTCGTCGTCTGCATATTCTCTCTCTCTGCGCGTGTGTGTGTGTGTGTGTGTGTGCAGGGTACCGCAACAAGTGTGAGTTCACCATCAGCCGGACACCCGAGGGCGACAGCGAAGTGGGCTTTGTTCTCACCTCCAGAGGCAACGTAAGGGACGGACACCTCCCAGCGCACAGACAGACCTTACTGTATGACGCTCCTGTCTGTTGGGTGGGTGGGTGGGTGGCTGGCTGGCTGGCCGGCTGCAGCAACCGATTGTGGAGTCGGCAGGTGACACGATCCACGTCCCCACTGCCATGAATGAGCTGTGCCATGCATTCAGGGCAACCACACACACACACACACACACATATACAGGGGTGGAAGCAGGACTTCACTCAATCAGGCCGTATTGCTGCCTGTTCGTGCGTTGCGTGGGTGCAGAAGCTGCTCGACAACCCATTCCCCATCTGCGAGCGCACTCAAGGGACTGGTGAGAGCGGCAGACGACGACTGGCTTGAAGTGCTTGGAGTCCATTTCACGCCTCTATGATTGTTGGCCGGTCAGGGGTGTGGCGGCTGCTGATGGTGCGCATGTCCAAGGCGACACAGGAGATGCTCGTCGTCGTGCAGGTCAGTGGGACCATCCCACGACAGACACATGTCACGTCGGCCCATGTGCGGCGTCCTCATTGATTGCAGGTGCTGCGCCCGGCTGACGAAGCGGCCCTGTCGTCGCTCAAGTCGCAGCTGGTTGCCTCTTTGGTCGGCCAGGACCCCTCGAGACGCCCCCTCCTCTACGACGACATTCCCGTCACGTCGCTCTTCCTGCAGTACCGCTCGGCCGTGAGCGACGCCACCGACAGCCCGACCGACCAGATGGAGCGCCTCTACGGCAAGGACCACATTCTCATGGGGCTCCTCGGCCTGCGATTCCGTGTGGCGCCTCTGGCCTTCTTCCAGACCAACACCGTCTCATGCGAACTGCTCTACCAGGTCGGTACACAGACCTGTCAACACAGATGACGACGGACGCCCCTGTTGTGTCTGTTGTCTCGTTCAGCGTGCGATCGACTGGCTGTGTCTGTCGGACGACAAGCCCACCATCCTGCTTGACGTGTGCTGCGGCACCGGGACCATCGGCCTGTGTGCGGCCAAGCAGCACCCGTCTGTGCGGGTGGTGGGCATCGAGAGCAACGAGGAGGCCGTCCAGAACGCCATCCAGAACGCACAGGCCAACGGCATCAGCAACGCGCGGTTCGTGGCTGGCAAGGCCGAGGACGTCATCGGCCAGGTCATCGAGCAGATGGGCGGCGACGCTGTCGAGGGAATGGACGTGTGTGCGGTGGTCGACCCGCCGAGGGCCGGGCTGCACTCGACGGTGCTCAACGCCCTCAAGGGGTGCCAGAGGGTCAGGCGGCTCGTATACGTGTCCTGCAATCCCGAGTCGCTCAACTCCAATGTCATCGAGTTGTGTTCCCCTTCAACCAGCGCGGGCAAGGGCGAAGAGGGCAGCCTGTGGGTGCCAACCAAGTAAGCCGGGACGCGAGCACTGTGAATGAAGTGCGGTGATTGATCATTGGTGTGTGTGTGTGTGTGTGGCCGTCTGTGTCCAGGGCGTGTGCAGTGGATATGTTTCCCCACACTATGCACGTCGAGGCCGTCGTGGCCTTCGAGAGACTCGCAGACATGACAACAAAGACCGGGACAACACATGAGAACTGACCGACGTGTGTGATGCATTCATTGGAGGGACAGCGATAAATGGAGCTAGCTGGTGGGGGTGGCTTGGGAGGCATCAGTGCGAGAGACCATCTTTTTGGTTTCTGCGAACCAGTATGATGAATGGACTGTTTGGCACGCATCCACAACGTCCTTGTGTAATTCTCATCTGGGTGTCTTAACTGAGACATCGCTACACGCACATCCGCCCTCAATCCCCTTTTCTCACGTCAGCTGACCAACCGATGGACTTCGCACAGCGGCATAAAACACCCCAGACATGCAACACCGCCTCACACCAGACCCCTGCAATCAAAATCGCTATTACGCGGATCAGAACAGAGTTCGCACACGTACCCAACCGAGTCGCATCAGACCTCCAGTCGCCCCCAACGGCCCCAAGTGAAAAAGTTGGGCCAGCCGACAATTGACAGCTGTGAAAAGCTATTTCGTCACATACATACACTGGTTCTGTTGTATGTAAAGAGGTCAGCGCAAACATGCACCGTTGTGCACATTCACAGTCACGCAGTCACGCACGCGAGAGAGAGCTTCGTGTGTCTGCCGATCGCCCTCTCCCCCCGCCTCTCACCAACATCAGCAAAGTACCCACCCGAGGCGGATTGCGTCGCACACACCCACGTCGTGCACCTGGTAGACTTCTCGCGGGTGATGCGACTCCCTGCACTTGCACTCCCTGCACGTGGTCGGCTCCTTCACCCCACGCATCAAATACCAGTACCTGATTGCACAAACAGATACACCTGCCCTTTATGTCTCTCTCTCTCTCTCTCTGTGTGTGTGTGTGTGTGTGTTGTCTGTGTCTGTGTGCAGGGATAGCGTGCTTACGGCGCGAAGGCGAAGGTCCTGCCGCACCGGTCGCACTCCGCATCGAGTGTCTCGCCAGGGCGAGCCTCGCAGTCGAGACAGCAGATGTCGCGCTTCTTCTTGTGCAGCTTCAGGTAGCGGTGCCCGTTCACCTGCGGGCAATGAGATGCACCAAAAGCCGGCGATTCGTGACACACATGCGATTGATGGGACAGAGCAGAGCAGCTGGCTGACCTCGAAGACGGCGCCACACAACTCGCAAGAGATCTCCAGATGGGCGTCCCTCACGTGTCGGCCACGCAGGGCCAGGTCATCCGACACGTCGATGACCGCAGGAATGTGGCTCTTGAGGGCCAGGGAAATCCGGCCATGGAGGGATGGATCGGCAGGGTGGCGCAAACCCAGCCGCTTGCAGACCTCGTTGCATTCGTGGGAGGCGAAGAAGGCAGACATGCCCCTCTCCCCCATGTTGCCCACACCGAAGCGACGGGTCTCCTGCAACGCAAGGGATGTGCACAGAGGGTGCTGGATGACTGTCTGTCTGTCTGTCTGTCTCTTGATTGCTGACCTTGCAGTGTATCTGGGGGTCGGTGTAGATCTTGCGAACGCCCTGCAAGTCCACCACCTACACCACACAGCGACCATTGCATGAGGAATGGCCCGGGTCGCTGTCCTTTCTTACCATGAGGTAGCATCCGGTGAAGTCGAACGTCCAATGGCTGAAGGCTTGTGCGAGGTCGGCGCCGATCTCGTTGGAGACCCAGCCGATGTTGTTGTTGTACTTAACGTAGGTGCCCTCGATGTGCGGCTCGACTGTCATCCACTGCTCCTCACCAGACCGGCCAGGCAGCTGGTAAACGTCTGCACACACAGACGGATACGCACCCTAGATATGTGTCTGTGTGCCTGTGTTGCGTCAGTGCCCACCAACGTCGAGAAAGTCGACCAGTCGACGGATGCGCTTCGGGTACAGCGTCGCGTTGAAGATCTTGGCGAGTCCCTTGCTAATGGCCTGTGCCTCCATGTCGGCCAGCGCAAGCTTCTTGCTCTCCTCCACACTCTCAAACTCGATCGGAATCTTGGCCACCTACAGGCACATACCCGTGACGCCACACGCGTCGCTATTCGCCCGTCTATGTGCGTCGATTGCTCACCTTTTTCAACTCGAAAGTGGCTCCAGTGCGGCCGTCCACCTTCACCTCAGCCATGTAGAAGGCGTATCGGAAGGCGCCCTTGGCGAACGGCTTGTCGTGGACGATGACGGTGGTCTCCTGCTTGTCGATGATGACGGGCGGGTTCTTCCAGTCTGTCGAGTGGTCGACCTCTGCGTGGCAGCTACATGTATCGAGTAGCCTTCTCCACCTGACCCACACATCCATCCATCCGTCCATCCATTACACACGTGTCAATCGATGCAGCTGTCAGCATACGTGTCCGTTGAGCGCGCCTCGGCGCCGCACCGTTGCTGCTCTCCTCAGCAATCGACTCCAGCCAACCTGATCGATACGCACCATATCGACACTCATACGTGGACGCAGTATCGTGGCTTGCCTTCGGTAGGTCCAGCGAATACCGACCCGCGGCCGGGGCGAGCGCCAGTGCGGAGCGTGAGCCGCTTGGAGGTGGCCGCCACGGACTCCTTGACCTGGAGTTCAATCACGTCACAGAGCATCTTCGCGCGTCGGTCGGCGACACATCGTTTCTCGCTTACCGGACCGACGACGCAGGCTTTGAGGGCGCTGGTGTCGCTGCCCAATGGGATGACCTTGAGCTCCCGCAGAGTGGCGGGGTCGTTGTAGGCGCCACGCATCACCTCGATCATGCGGTCAGTGCTGTTGTTGATCTTGACGAACCGATAGTCGATGCACAACTCCCTCGAGAAGCCACGCATCAAATCCTCAATCCTCTGCACGCAGCGCAGCAACAGAAACGTTTCATGAGCCCCCTTTGTTTCCATCCCTCACCATGCCGTTTGGGTCACCGCGAGGGTAGCTGCAGCCGGACACATATCACGGACACACATCCATCGGTGTGGAATCGATCGACCAGACTTACTCGTCGCCCATTCCCTTGTAGTAGTACTGCGTGCCGTGAGGAGGAGCATCACCAATGTGGATCACCAGACGCGTCGCGGCCTTCCAGGGCATGTCACCTGCTGCCTTCAGCGCCCCAGCGACATCCTCGGGGCCGTCGGCACCACCGGTAGCGGACTGGCGGGCGATGAGGCCCTCGATGGAGGAGATGTCGGAGGTCAGGCTGCCGATGACGAGTCGCTGCGGCCCATCGCCGTGGTCGCGATAACCAACGAAGCCCAGCCGAAACGCCATCTCCGGATACTCCCTCTGCGTGCGGAGAAGCAGATAATGCGTTTCGTTGCCTCAAGGCCGTTCGTGCGTGTGACGGCCTCTCTCTTGCTTGCTTGCCTTGAGTTCGCTGATGATGTCCCTGGCGTAGTCCTTGGCCGCCTGGATTCAGCCCGACATGGAGCCCGTCAGGTCCATCATGATAACAACGTCAACCGACGTGCAAACCTCCACTTGAAGCTTCACGAGGCTCTGAATTGCACGAGGGGACAAGCAGGCAGGGCGGGATAAGTAGGCGAGTGCCTGACCGGCCGTTGCCTGTCGCGTTCCTACCCCCACACGCTTGCGAGCGGTCTCGCGCTCGGTCTCAGCCTCCCGAGCGCGACGGATGGCCTTGGTGGCCCGCTCCTTCTCGAGCTTCTTCTCCATGTCGTGCTTCTCTTTCTCGAGCCTCCGCACAGTCATGCCCTTGGTGGCCTCAAGCGCAGCAGCACGTGCTTTCTCCGCCTCCAACGCACGCACGAGGCGCTTGACTGTGTCATCTCGACTGGCACTGCCGCCAGCGCTGCCGCCAAAGCTGGCAGTCCCGGCGCTGCGCGGATCGGACATGAAGACAAGAGGATGGAAAGTAGCGCGTGCAACGGAACAACTGGCCAGGTTCTAGCCGTTATCAATGCTGGCCGAGGAGTTCCACGCCAAACTGCCGTGGGCTCAACTCACAAGCGCCTTTTGAGCTACTTGCCCTGTAGCTGCATCGACAGCGATAAACGGAGCTGGTAGGGGTGGCTTGGATCGAGGGGCGCATCAGTGCGATTCCCACTGTGAGACTCACCAGAGGGATCGTGGATTGCATCAGACGATGCTCGTTGTGCACGAGTTAGACAGGCTGACAGGCAACGCCATTGCAATTGTTATAGGCTGAAGGGGACATCTCGAAAATGAGCTTCATGGTGCGTGTCCTCCATCCATCGCGACTCATGTCAAAACCGCATCTAGTCAGTCGCGTGCACAGTAGTGCACTCACTCACTCACTCACTCCATCGCTCACTCACGCACTCCCTCATGGTACAAAAATGCGGTGCAGGGCCGTCGCCTGACAGCCCCTTCTTCCTTGACAGCTCTCAGATATCTCCTGGCCAGCTCGACACTAGTCCTCACATGACATCACACGACAGCACAATCCTCCCTCCTGCCCTTGACCCCCGCACCCCACCACGCCAGACTCATGATTGCCTCCCACCGGCCATCGGCAGATCCATCGTTATCCACAGCAAGCCGCCTACGAGCCACTTCGTTTGTCAGCACACCGTACATGACGTCATCGCGCCAACGCAGCCGGTTCAGGGCGGTGCCGATGCTCGCCAGGTCCTCCCATGTCAGCGACGTCACGACCTTCTCCTGTGCGAGCCACCGCCGCACCGACGATGCTAGGTGACCTCTCTCAATCTGCTGACTGCTGTCCCCGCTGCTTGACCCCGCTGGAAGCCGGAGCGCAAACTTGCGGGGGAGCCTGGTGGGCAGCTGTGTGCTCTTCTCGCCCTCAGACATCGGCGGCAGCGCACTGTCGTCAGGGTGGTCTCTATGGACGAGGGTGGACACACCCAGCAGGAGTCGTGAGGCCTCGGAGGGTGACACCCTCTCCATCTCGTCAGCCACCCTCTCCACCAGTGCATCGTGCAGGGCGCTCTGAGCCGTTTCGTTGTGTGCTGCGACGGGAGGGCGGCCGAGGCGCTCTGACGGGCCACCATGGATGGGGGCTGGTGGCGGTGAGTGCAGGGCTGCTCGATCGGCAGTGCGCTGTGTGAGTGCGGCGAGGGATCTGACGATCGACATGAGTGTTGGGAGGGGGATGGACTCGCAATGCAGCCGCGACAACAGGGACTGGCGGAGAGGCTCGATCAGCCGGTCGTCAGACACCTGAGTGAATTGGTGCGTGGAAGACATGCGCCAATGTGATTTTGTTTGCTTGTTGCTTTGGTCTCACGTGCAGTTTGTAGAGGTGCTCCAGTGCTTCCCTTAGCCGCTCCAGCGGCCACTCCGCGGCCCTAGCAGCCACCTCCCAGACGAGCAGATCGCCCAGCTCTGAGCACCTGCGCAGAGGAGACCTGGGCAGCTGGCCCACGAGCCACACCAGGTACTCGTCGTCCAGAAGGCTCGGGTCATGCAGGTGCTTGTAGGGCAGACGCCACACAGAGAGGCCACCACCCAGCGGCCCGGGGAGCGCGTCGATGTCAACGACGGACTGGAGGCTGCAGAGGTCCCCGAGCCGCACAGGCAGGGACGACCCGCCCTCTTTGTCACTCTCCCTGACGTGACGCCGGACCCATGCGCGGACAGCCCGGGTGAAGTCCTCCGTCAGCACGTCAGCAGCCTCGAAAGCTTGCACCACGTCGGCCACTTCTCTCCCGTTCATGCTCTCCACTCTCCCTGTCGCCTCCTGCACTAGCAGGCGCCATAGTTCTCCCTTGTCCCCCCACTGCAGCCGCGAGAACCCCCATGCGACACATGCCAGGGTCTGGTGGGGCCACTGGCCCATCTCGGTGACTGTCCTCTTCTCGATGGCGCTGAGAAACCCCCCGCTCGGGTGGTGGTGCAATCGGCCTAGGGACCACATGATGGACGAGATCCACTCAGGGGCGAGAGACTCGACGGATGGCGTCAGGCGAGAAATGAGCGTGTCGATCGCCAGCTGTGCCTGCTCGTCCTGGACGGCCGTGTCGTCGAGGAGACCGCTGAGGCCGTGAAGGGCCAACACAGCGCTCAGTGGACAGCAGATGGCCATCACCGAAGGCACAAGGGTCAGCAACTGCGGCAACAGCCGGTCATCGTGGAAATGAAGGCGTCCCAGAGCCCATAGCACGCCAGCCAGGCCAGCATCGTCAAATGTGCCCTCCTGCGTGTGGTCCAGGATGGACGATAGGGCCACCATCAGCGGCTGCGTGACCGCGGGATGGCCGTAGTGCAGCCGAGCCACCGAGCCGAACGTCAGCGAGAGCTCTCGCGTCGTGAGGCGGTCAGCGCCCTCGGCCACCTTCATTGCCAGCAGATGGACGACGACGTGCTTTGGGGGGCAGCCACGGGCGACACTGGTATACTCGTCTCGGTCCGTTGATGTGTCCGCAGCATGGGCGTAGCCCCAGAGATGCGACAGCTCGTTCAGCAGGTGGACGCAGACCGGCACATCCAGCTCGGCCAGGTGGTGCACCACCTTCCACTTGACCATGTCCACCGCCCGTCGTGTCTCCTCCGACCGCCCTTGACCCACACTCGCCACCAGCCTGACCAGGCCGGGCAGCGATCGATTCAGCCAGGTCTGCTGCCGCGCACCCATGTGCTCATTGACGAGGAACAACGCCCTCTCAGTGTGGCGGCCCGGCACATGGGCCTTGAGCAAGGCAACCATGTCGCGGCTGTCGAAGGCCATCAGGTGGTCTTCCACCTGCTGCAGTGCCGCCTTCTGGAAACACTCGATAGCCATGAAATATGAGGGAGGGGGCATGGCGGCGGGACCGTGGGGCAGCGTCAGGATGCGGGCCAGGGTGGTGAGGGAGCGGGGCGACAGCCTGTCGATGGCGAGCAGAGCGCGGTCAGCGATGAGGCCCAGGGATGGGTAAGCATCGTCACCGTGGAACCACCTGCAATCCGACAAACCAAAAGCAAATATAAGGGAGGTGGCTGTGCACGTGTTGCGTGCTGTCGCACTGACCGAATGGCTATCGCAGAGTGCGCCAGGTCCTGCCCGTTGAAGCTCCTCCCGCCCTCAAGCTCATCCACCAGCCACTGCATCAGCGTCCCCACCGCCCGGCCGGCCTCTCTCCCCGTCCCCTCTCCCCTCCTATATACATGAGACGCCGCCCACGCCACATTGGCCATCGTCCGCACATCAACACCACCGTCCTGCCTCTCATTGACCTCATCGATCAGGCTGTGCAGTGCCTGAAATATGGGCTGCCACAGGTCGCTGGGGTGGGGGATGAGGTCAGATAGTTTGGCGATGCCAATGGCCGTCTCGCGGAGGTCTCTCTGGGCGAAGGAAGATATGACCCTCCGGCGCCGTACGAGTGACAGAATGGAGCGGCTCAGGGGCACATGGAGGACACCACAGGAACCTGACAAGTACAACACACGAGATGATTGCCTCTCCTGTTGGTGCTCTGTCGTCCCCCTCTCTGTCTCACCAAGAGCCATAAGTGCAGTCGCCACGCTCTGCGGCAGCCTGCGACATTGGTCTCGAGAAATCAGCACAACCATCCGATCGGCCAGCGACGCGAGCACCTCTGCGTACGTCTCTTGGCCGCCCCCGGCCCCCCTCATCAGCTCACTCACCGCCCACATTGCCTTGGTCACGTGCATCGAGACCATTGTGCTGCTGTGAGATGCCACATACGTCAGAAGGGGGTATGTCCGCGGGGCTGGCCCTGGCCGCCTCTTCCGACGAGCTTCTGCCATAGCGGTGAGCAAATCGACGGCTGAGCGGTGGGTGAGAGTCGACACGCACTTGGGCTCCTGCGCGAGTGTGAGGAGGCCGCTCACGTCCCACCCCAGCCGATTAAAAGCCCACACCGCCTTGGCCAGTATCTCAGCATTCGGCGCCTCCCTCAGTCCTCCTTCTGCCCGCCATCTCAGCTCGTCCAGCACAGCTGCATGCACACCAGATCGAGGGCTATTCGCCAGTTCCGCGGCCCGATGAAGCGCCTCAACAGCCGAGTGTAAAGGTATCCTCGAGAGCTGATGGCGGTGCTCCTCGAGCAGCTGCATCAAGTCACTCCACGTGTGACACTGGCACCACGTCACCTTCTGCATGCTGCAGCGATGACGGGTGGCCTCCGGCAGGCTGACTGTGGGAGAAGCCGTGGCGGCTGCTGCAGCCGAATAGGAGGCGCGCATAGGCAGCTGTGCGGCGCCGGCAGGCGGCCTGATGATTGTGAAGGCCTCAGATCTGAAGGCATGGGCGAGGAAGAAGAGGAGGGGGAACACCGAGAAGGCACCCATGCAGCCATAGAAAGATCCCGATAAGAGGAGGTCAGTGACGCCTCGGAAGTCCCATTCTTGCGCCTTTTTCCCCCTTCTCCTTCTTCTTCCTCTGCGAGCTTTTCCTGTCTCACTTCTGAGCTCGCAGCAGAAAGGAGATTCGGCTGAAACCGCGGAAAGGAGATCTGCTCGCCCATTGGGCTGCAAGCATGCTGCGTTCTGCTCTAAAATCCATGGATCTTTCGTGCGATGTCTGTGTGATTGGCCTCGGCTTCGCCGGCATAGCTGCTGTGCGGCATCTCCGGAGTGAGGGTGTGAATGTCATCGCCATCGAGGCCAAGGGACGCGTGGGAGGACGGGCATGCACCATGCAGCTCGACACAGGTACTGCTGCTGAAGAGTATGTATCCACACACACGTCGCTCTAGCACTCACTGGTCTGGTCGTCTGTGTGCAGGCGAGATGCTAGAGTGCGGCGCTCAGTGGCTGCACGGCACAGAAGGCAACCCTCTGTATGACTTTGCAAAGACATATGACCTGCTCAAGCCGCCAAATGCTCGGAACGCTGCTGCAGGTCAGTAACAGGCAGGCTTGGCGGGATGGGGAGGGCAACGCCATCCATTGACGCGGATGGCCCTTTTGTTCAGCCGGTCCAGGCCGCTTCTTTCGTGCGCACGGCAAGGCAGAGTTCCGCAACGAGGAGGGCGAAGCGGAACCACATCAGGTGAGGAGCATTCATTGATGGAATATCATACTCGTGTGTGTATACGTGTGTGTCTTGTCATTTGCAGCGAGTCGAGTTGGTGAACAAGGTGTGGCAGCGGCTCAGCGACGAGGCGAGTGACGCTAAGCGAGCTGCCGCCCTGCCGGCAGACCTGAGCCTGGAGGATGCGGCTCAGACATACAATCAAGAGGTGAGAAGACAAGCAAGCGAAGGGAAAACTGGCTGACACGGCATATGCTCATGCGGCATTGGTGTCTGTCTGTGTGTATGTCAGATTTTGCAGAAGGACCCTGCCAGCGCCGGCGTGATTGGGTGGTTCTCGAGGCTGCAGGAGGCCATTGAGGGCAACCCACTCGCCGACATATCCGCCCACCACTACGCCACCTTCGAGGATCTGTCAGGGCCTAACGTGCGAGTGTGGGGCGGCATGCAGACACTCGCACAGCGGATCTTCGACGACATCGACATCGACCAATCCAATGTGTTACTCGGCACAGGGGTAACACGCATCCGGTATGACGCCGATGAAGGCGGCGGCTGTGTCGTTGAGGCGCTAAGGCAATGTGAGCCATCGCCGCCTTACTGGTGTGTGCCGAGAGAGGGAGAGACGACAGAGCAGACAGACGACGGGCGAGATCAAGACGAAGAAGCGGGCCACCGTGTGGTCATCAAGTGCCGTGTGGTGATTGTGACGGTGGGTCTGGGCGTGCTCAAGGCCGCCCACAGCTCGCTCTTCGACCCGCCCTTGCCCGAGTGGAAGCGGCGGGCCATCGAAGCGGGAGGGATCGGCGTGGTCGACAAGCTATTCGTCCGCTGCTCTCCTTCCTCCGTCGATGGCCACTCGCCCTCTCACGCGCGGCGCATCAACTGGACACGGCCATTGCCTCGTGCTGATGGCGGCTCCCAAGGTGACGACTGGACGGCCGGCATCTATGCATTTGACCCCATCCTGCCCGCCGTGCCCTCGACGTCGCTGCTGATGACATCCTGGCTGGTCGGCCCTTGTGCGTCACAGCTCGAAAAGAGAGCGGTGCGACAGCCGACTGACGTCATGCACGAGTACTGCAGGGCGTTCAGCAAGGCCACAGGCGACGAGTGGACACCAGGGGATGGAGCTAAGAGTGTGTCCCTGCTGTGCACACAGTGGGGTGAGGATGAGTGCTTTCGCGGGTCTTACTCGTATCTGAGTGTGAGATGGGAGGGGCAGGGCGGGTGCGTGTGCGACGTGCTGGGCAGGGCGGTGGGCGAGAGGGGGAACAAAGTGTTGTTTGCTGGCGAGGCCACCAACAGGCGGCATTATGCGACGGTGCATGGTGCGTATGAGAGTGGGGTGCGGGAGGCAGCCAAGGCGATGGATGTGCTGAAAAGCATAGTAATGAGACAGTGAGTGAGCGAATAGATGCATGAGAAGGACGGACGCATAGCATGGGTGGTGACTCTTATATATGGTCGCTTGCCAGCATAGATATGTCAACACGTGGCAATGGATCGATTCCCGAGGGAAGCCACGTACGGATGCAGCCAGGATATGCCGTTACTTGTAGTACGTTTTGTATGCGTCCACCTGTACAGCTGTCATTCCGTCTGTGTGTCTCCCTGTCTCCCTCCCCACGGCAGAAATCACAGCACCATACACCATACACCCGGCCCGGCAGCCAACCATCTGCACAGACATCCCTCTCCCCTCTACCCCTTTCGGTCTCCATCACTCGACGCTGTCCTCTGATAGCGTCTCGTCACTACAAGTGGTGGTGCTGTCGGTGCCATCTGAGCCTGCGTCGGTGTCACTGTCGATGTCGACCATGATGTCCCAGTGAGTGGCGAGAATGGCCCTCGACTGAACCAGCACAACACAGCACAGCACAGCACAGAAATCACACGTGTGGGGAGAGAGACACCCTACCTTCACGCGGACCGACCCGATTCCGAATGTCTCCGTCGGGATGGTGGGCCAGCTGCGAAGTTCTGTTCTGACCGTCAGCCTGCACACACGACAGGCCGACAAGCAGATGGTTCCGGCTCTCTCTATCGCCTGTGTGTGACTCACCTCTTGTATCAGATTGCGGTAGGGGCTCTGTGGGAGGCCGTCGCGCGCCTGCACCTCCTCACCCGTGCTGCTTAGAACAGAACCGCCCACACGGGGACGATTCATTGTCACGGCATCAATGTGTCGTGTTGTGACAGAAACGGTACCATAGGAAGTTGTGGATTGCAACGAGTGCCCCACCGAGTATGGCGACCTCAGTTCCGTCTACCAACAGATCACACAGCGGCCCGACACACCCACACCCAACCAAATACTCAACCTGAACCACAACGCCGAGACGGACACAGCAGCAATGCAGGATAATGTAAGCTGCATCGGATCTCGTCTACCTGAGCCTGCGATCCTAGTCCCACTCCGTTGATGATGACGCACAGTGCCTCTTCCTGAACGCTCGGCACATCAGTTGTGGCCATGATGATCACTTGCGGCACCACACCAGAGTCGATGACCGCCTGACGCTGCTCGCGATTACCTAATCAGACAAAGAGACGCCATTGTTCCCACTGTGTTGTTTGTGTGCCCTCCAGTGGCCCCAAGCACCCACCAGCCATGATGTTGGAGATCGCCCGCGATGCTTCCTTGCGGACGTTCCGCCTTGGTGACGACAGCAACGCCTTCAAGGAAGGAATGGCACCGCAGTCAACCATCTCCTGTGTGTGCACTTCATTGCCTGACAGCACTCACACACAGACACCCCAACATCAGAACAGCCACCAACAAGTCATCCAAATCTGTCTCGTCAACCCAGCCTTCCGTGTGTTTGTGTACCCGCCACGATCTTTCCGAAAGCACATAGTGCATGCCTCCGGACCGTGTGGCTGTCATGCCCCCCCATCAGCTCTACCAGACGACCGCATACACCACTGCCGACCACCGCCTCGATGCCCTCATCGCTCCCCTCTTCAGTCAAGTACGACAGCGCGAGGCACCCCTGTCTGAGCACCCTAGCGTCCTGGTCAGGCCTCTTGATGAGCTCTGCGACCACCGGCACCGCTGGCGACACCAACTCGAAGGGGGGCAGGGGCTGTCTACTGCACAGGTTCGCGAGCGTCCGGCTGGCGCTGCGCAGCATTGACACCTTCGTGCTCTTGCGAAGCACCTTGAGCAGCGGCTCCATGACGCCCGCTGCCAGCACCAAATCACAAGCAGCTGACCCACCGACTGCGATGTTGCCCAGTGCCCACACGGCCTGGCGGCGCGCACCATAGTCAGGGGACGACAGCAGCTGGATGAGGGGCGGGATGCCACCCGCATCAATGATGGCCTGGGTCTGCTCTGATGTGCCCGACGCGATGTTGGTCAGCGCCCACGCCGCTTCACGTTGGAGGGTCGGGCGGCTCGAGTCACTGAGCAACCCCACGAGTGGTTCAATGACAGCCGCATCGACGGCCTCCTGGATGGGCCGCCCTTCGATTACATGCAGCTTGCGGACTGCCGTGGCGGCCTCCAGCTGGATGGCTGCATCGCCCCTTTTGAGTCCGTCGGCCATGACGCCGAGCAGAGAGGTCATGCTGACGCCCACCACCACCCTTTGCCGCCGTGAGGTTGCGATGCTGCAGAGGGCGCTCGTCACGTAGACGCGCACATCGAGATGCGGGGACGAGAGCAGCTGCTGGAGTGCGGGCACGACAGCGGCCTCAACGGCGGCGTCAGCAGATATGGATGCCATGGCGGCCAGAAATTTGGCCGCCTCGATGGCTGTCGAATGCCAATGGCTGCTGAGAAGACCAACGAGCACCGACACATCACTAATGGCGTCGAGGGCCGCCTCGCCGTCCTTCTCGACCCGTCGCTGAAGCTCCCCAAGGACATTGATCTTGCTTAAGGAGAACCGGCTCGAAAGGTGCTTGATGAGCTGAGGAATGGTCAGTTGTTTGAGGTTGGGCCATATGAACGATGAAATGGCCGCCCAGACAGCACTGAAGAAGGCCGAAAGCCTCCGTATGAATCCGTTTACAAATGCTGTAAATGGTTCTGTGCAAGACCTTTCCCTCACTCGTCCACACACACATGCAAGCGATGCGCTACTTGCTCCTCTTTCTGTCTTCGAGAGAGAGCCCCTTAGGAGATCAGTGAGAAGACGCAGCGAGAGAGACAGAGAGAAAAACAGACAGACACACCCAGAACCGCCAACAAGACATACAGCGAGATAGTGAACATACTGACGGACGGACGGACGGACGGACACACATACGTATGACGACCACACACTCAGCTGAGGAGAAGCAAGAAGGGAAAGGGAGAGGACATAGGACGCGACCAAGCACTGCACCCAGCCAACCCCCCACACTTTCTTTCTTCACTGCGATGTACACCCTTGCACAACAGGAGCTCATGCAAAAAGAGACTAACGCAGGCGGACAGACAGACGGACGGACAGACACAGACAGCACTGCATGTCATCACCTCCCTCCCAAGTCAGTCACTGTCGTGATCCCCTGTCGTCAGCACCCTTCCCTTCCCTTCCCCTCCCCGCCCTGCTGCTGCTGCTGCTAGGCCTGCCCTCCCTGTTCTGTCACCGGAACGACACTGCCGCCGCACCCACAGCTACATGGCAGCCAACACAATGCAGCACAACAACACACACGTCCCCCCCTCCACACACACACACCGGTCGCGGGAACGTATGGCGCACACACACAGCGGACAGTGCCACCAGACAGACAGACAGACAGGCAGACAGACAGACAGAGCGAGAGAGCCATTAACGCGATAAAACATCCAAACAAGCATAGCATACCGTTATAAATCGTGTATTACGGAGTACATCCGGACATGCAGCCGTCCCTTTAAAGTCAGATCGCATACACGTGTTCGTGGGACCCCCACCCCACCCATAATCATCATCCCAAAACGCGCGGATCACACACGCTCACACCCACTCTCACACTCTCGCACTCAGGAACACAGACAGACAGACAGACAGACAGAAACACAGACACACATCGATACCTCACACAGCCAAACGAACGAAGAAAGGAAAAGGATCAACCAGGTGGATTATGGGGGCATGACAACAACTGCATGCCATGCAACCGAGAGGCACAAACGCCACACAGACGGGGTCGGAGACAAACGCAGGCAGGCAGGGCCGGCAGGGAGGGAGGCAGGGCTCGAAAAATTCATCAACTTTTCTGGAAGCCTCCCTCTCACACTCTCAGCAAAACACACACACCAGTCCGTCCACGGTACGATGCATCCGTGTCGCAAAAAAAGTCCCACACTCGTGAGTGAATGCACGTAACGCAACAGAGACTATCTGCACTCGCTCGCTCACTCACGTCGGTCGGTCGGTCGGCATGGTCATGCTCACGCACGATTGCCGCACCGCCCCCGCACGAAGCGTATCAGCACCCCAGCAATGTTGACGACCGCCAGCAAAATGGCCGCCATGGTCGCGGCGGGAACCGCATCAGCCACCTCGCCATCGCCGCCGCTCATAAAGACCGTCAGAAGCTAAAGGAGAAAGAGTAGGCAACAGATGGATGGATGGATGGATGGATGACGGGTCTTGTGCGGTCTCTGCATCGTCTGACCTGCAGTACGAGCATGGGCACATAGCCGACCAGCGCCAGTAGCTCGAGCGACAGAAACGCTTCGGGCTTGACTCCGATGTTGAAGAAGGACTTGTTGCCGAGCTTCGACCAGCACAGATGGAGCACCCCAATGCTGAAGAAACTGCAGAAGAGCACGAAAATCAGACCGGTCCCAATGCTGCCGAAGCCGTCCGTCTCGTCGCGATCGGCGTTGTTGTTGATGAGCCGCGCCACTTCCACGCTCGTGTGGCCGGTGTTCTCTGAGGGTATGGTCTTGGCGGCCT